CTTATTACTAGCCATTCTGTCAGTAAAATTAAATCCTTTGATATCAGAATAGCAACCCCATCATTTTCAACAAGCATAACTCCTGTCAGCTGCTTATTGGTTACCATACAATTATTAATTGGTCATATTTGCACTAGCTATTGTCACACGTGTGCTAAAACCTGAACCATTACTTACATCAGGAGCAAGTCAATGCTTGCCAATAATAGTCACAGTGCTTCACGAAATCATAAGTCCCATTACACTGATTGCATATACTGATTTTCTTTGCCACTTTGTAAGGAATGTGTTACTGCAATATAGGAGAGTAATGAACTGAATAAAGTAATTACTTTTAAAAAATACTTGTGTTCGTTACAGAGATCTTTGTAATATCAAAAATGCAGAAAGTTCATCTAATAGGACTGTATAAGCTTAGGACTTTGGAAAGTGTATGTATGGGTTCAGGCTAGCTTTCATACCACATGAGTTTGGAATTTGTAAACCTGTTCTCTGAAATAGGAATAAATCTTTGGTGCATCTGTTGCACCTAGATTCAGTGCAAGCTTGTAGTACAGTGTTACATAAAATTAATCAGCAAAATATGGGACTGCAGCATATACGTTTGCCATACCAAATTTAATGTGCCCTTCTATAACAGCATATACGTTTATATTCCACCACTACCATCAAAATGTTGAGGAGATATATAATAAAAGCACAAAAGATATGGAGAAAATCCTTCCAAATTTCAGTTCCACTTCAGAGCTTTTCTCTTTAGTGTGATCATTTTATAAGGTCAATCATTATTTATGCATCTACAGCATAGCAATAATAATAAGGAAAAGCTTTGTGAAGATAATGACTTATCAGTGGTATCACGAAGTTTAAAATAAGAATGGAGTACAAATTTGAAAAGTTTAGTTTTTGGAACCAACAGGTATGATTTATTTTCATTAGCTAAATTAAGAATACAATATTTTAATACTTCTCCAAAAAAGCTTGACAAGGAAAAGTGACAATTTAAAACTACAGAAAATATTAATTTCTTACTTTGCTGTTTATATTTTGGAAGAGTTTGTACTTGCAATTTCTGGTTCTTCCTTAGCACATGAGTTTTTGAATCAGGAAAAACCCATCCCATTTGGTTGACTTCCTGATCATTAATCATGGAATCATATTTTCCAATTCAATTACAATGGAATAATCCATTTGACTGATTGAACCAGCCAAACCACGACGTTCATCATGCTCTTAGGCTTTTTAGTTTAAATTGTTGACGAATCTAAGTGTGAATGATTGAATGTAGTCCTACATTGGTTGAAGAAGGACTAAGTGAGCACCATATAAGTGGAAGGATCGATGCATCTAATACCTTAAGGTTTTGGGTTTGATTGTGGTGTTCCAAGCCCTCTTAATATTATTGCTCACTTGATCTATGGTTGGCGTTCCCCGCGAGCTCTCCCTACATGCCCAACATAAATGCAGATGCCAATCCATTGGCTTTACAAGTTTTAGGCTCACTTCTCCATTCCAAAAATGAGATTGTGCTCTGTGAAAACTCATGAAGGTTCCTAATGTGTTAAGATGGAGTTATGATGGATTAGATGATGAATTAAAAATAAAATAAAATTGGACATTGCATTCTAGATTTTGTTTGTCAGGGACTAGTGCAGTTGAAGGCAGAATTTTAGATGTGTCTCGAATAAGAGTTTTGCCCTTCAGCTTTGAAACCTTCTCAAGGATGATCCATCTAAGATTTCTCAAATTCTATATGGGTAGGGGTAATATAGCAATTTGCTCCTTCCTTCCTGTCTGGAGAATGAATTGCATTATATTGAAAGATGTAATATATTAAGGCTATTATGGTTTTCAGTCTAGTGTTCTAGAATTGAACCCGCCAATGCTGAAATGCTTGGAGTGCAATGGAGAGATATTTTAACGCAGAGAATGAAGCTTGGATCCAGGAAACAAACCCTTTGCAATTATGCAAGGGTAAGGCTGCATACAAGGATTATCTCCACCCCACACTCGCTAGTCAGATTTAACGGAAAGTGATTTTTTGGTTTTTAATGAAGCTTGGATCCCTTTCGTTTGGCTTCAGAGTTAAGAAGAACTTGGGAGGTGAGAAATTATATGGTAATACAAGAAGTTTTGGATTTTGGTAACTATTGGAGGTAATTAGAAGGGATCTTGATGATTTTGGTAACTATTGGTGTTAATTAGAAGGGATCTTGATGATTTTGGAAATTATTCGGAAGAGGAGGCTAAGTTTGGCACTTCTAAAAGCATTGATCCTCATTGGTCTTGTCCTCAACGGGGAGAAATTAAACTTATTGTAGATGCTACTGTCAAGGACAGTAAAACAGCAATTGCAGTCAGAGAAATGGAAGAGGTAGCTGCCAAGGTTTTTGGGCATAATTTTTACTGTTATAGAAGTTGAAGATACTAAAGCTAGAGCAATTCTAAGTGCTGATCAAGTTGTTGGATTGTTTCCAAATACCAAATACAGAATTGAAAGTGATTGTAGGAAAGTGGTGGAAGGTGCAAAAGGAAAATCTAGTGTGGCTTGGAAAAATTTAGCATTCATTTTAGAAATCAGTAACTTCTTGAAAAGTTCAGTGGATCTGTCATTAGATTGGATTCCAAGAGTCTGCAATTCAGCTGCTCATGAGGGAGCTGCTTGGGCTTGGAAGGCTTGTAAGGGTGGTGCAATATTTTCTTGCTCAGTTTCCCCATGGTGGATAAGGCTCTCTACTGATTTACAGCCTTGTCAGTTGCTTGTTGGTTCCTGTACTTTGATCAGCATCATATAATTATATATAAAATAATGCTCAACCTGTGGTGTCGTAACCTGTTTTAACAAGCTCAAACTCATAGTACAGTATATGTTTAGGACTATGGAAAGTGTGTGTATGGATTCAAGACAGTTTTCATAAAAATTGGGGTTGGAATTTGTAAACTTTTTTCTTTTCTTTCTGAAACAGAACTTTAGGGACACTCCATTTAAAAAACTCATAAATCACATTTACAAGCTTGCAATTGCGCAGTACAGTGTTACATAGGCATAAAGGGCCAAGTCCCTATACAAAAAGATTCAGCAAAATATGGGACTCCAGCGTTTATATACCCGCTATATACAAAAATGATCTTCTGTGTGATGTGTTGTTGGGTTCTATTTGCAAAGTATAGGACTTGGAGTCCCACATTGGTTGTATGGGCAACTAATATGGGATTTATAAGGCTTTGGGCACTCCCACCCTTTGAGCTAGCTTTTGGAATGGTGCATCTCAAGGTCTTATCAAATGGTATCAGAGCATCCATTACGTGGAGTTGTGCGTGGGGGCATGGGGGCACGCACTAGGGAAGCTGGTGGAATGTTGGGTTCCCTTTGTAAGGTATGGGACTTGACTCACATTGGTTGTATGGGCAACTAATGTGGAGTTTATAAGATTTTGGGCACTCCCACCCTTTGAGCTAGCTTTTGGAGTGGTGCATCTCAAGGTCTCATCAAATGGTATCAGAGCATCCATCACGTGGAGTTGTGCGTGGGGGCACGCACTAGGGAAGCGTGGTGGAATGTTGGGGTTGCATTTGCAAGGTATGGAACTTGGAGTCCCACATTAGTTGTATGGACAACTAATGTGGAGTTTATAAGGCCTTGGCCACTCCCATCCTTTGGGACTTGGAGTCCCACATTAGTTGTATGGACAACTAATGTGGAGTTTATAAGGCCTTGGCCACTCCCATCCTTTGGGCTTTGGGCACTCCCACCCTTGAGCTAGCTTTTGGAGTGATGCATCCCAAGGTCTCATCAAATGGTATCAGAGCATCCATCACGTGGAGTTGTGCGTGGGGGCACGCACTAGGGAAGCGTGGTGGAATGTTGGGGTTGCATTTGCAAGGTATGGGACTTGGAGTCCCACATTAGTTGTATGGGCAACTAATGTGGAGTTTATAAGGCCTTGGTCACTCCCATCCTTTGAGTTAGCTTTTGGGATGGTGCATCCCAAGGTCTCATCATGTGTACACCTATTTATCCTGGAGTTTGTTTCTATAAAGAACCTTGGGATACACCACCCCAAAAGCTAGCTCAAGGGGTGGGAGTGCCCAAGGCCTTATAAACTTTACATTAGTTGCTCATACAACCAATGTGGGACTATATATCTCAACACGCCCCCTCACACGAGAGCCCATTGGGCTTGAAGAGTGGACAATGCAACAGGCCCAGTCTACCTGTGCTAAGAAACGCCACAAGAGAAAGTGGGAGGCGGCGAGGCTCTGATACCATGTAAAGAACCTTGGGATACACCACCCCAAAAGCTAGCTCAAGGGGTGGGAGTGCCCAAGACCTTATAAACTTCACATTAGTTGCTCATACAACCAATGTGGGACTATATATCTCAACAGTTTCCATAACAGCAGTTAATCTGTCTAACCTCTACTCACCCACAACCCCATCTAACAAGTTGATTGTTATTCATCCGATAAATGTAGGATAAATCACATCCTAAAATATCCTACATCATGATACATGATATTAGAATATCAATTCACATCATATCCATAGAGAACAACAGTGTACTTGTGAAAGACATTTCATATTTTGTTGTGATTGATCCTCCTCAGAATCCTTAAGAAGATTGTACGCAACTTGTGCATGCTAGAAAAATGATCTTCCTCTCCTTTCTATCTCCTTAATGACAATGTTCTTGATGGGCAGAAAAATGAATTAGTCATATACGTGAAATAACACGCATACATATACATAAGAGAGCAGAGGGGACTTGACCCTGCATGAATGGACGTTGTCTTGGTTCCACTCACCATGGACCTAAGCAATTAGGGCCAACACAAGATCCAATAAACTAACATGTTGAGCCCAAAGCCCAACACCAAATACATGTGATTTTTCCAATCTATTTAATCACAAGATAGTAATGAGTTGTAGGAAATATGTGGCTATAGCTCAACCAGTTTTAACAAACAAAAGAAACGATGGAAGCCCAATTACAGAACAAATTCTAACATCAGAAGTATAAACACACCCATTTGTCTCACTTTATTTTCAAAATCAAAAGCATGGCTGTTTCTGCAATATTTCAACAAAACAATCCCTTAAAGATACATAAAATTTGTCATAAATCACTTATAACATCAACATTAACATCACCTTTACTCAAACTAGTTAGGCCATAAATCTCATACAATTGTACAGATAAACAACCTAAGAAGAAAACCTTTCTCTGTTATGAGGAGCAGAATAATCAATATTTGGCCCCACAGGAACGATCCCATATGTATTGATAGAAGGATGGCTTCCATAGTAATGCAACTTTATATGTTCCATGTTCACTGTGCTACTAATGCCAGGAATTTGGAAAATGTCTTTGGTATAATTGAAGAGATTTGGGTATTCCCGCAGTAGTTTCTTGTTGCACTTAAAGTGAACAGCATAAACCTACAATTACAACAAAGGCTATTTACTCAAAAGCCAAAACATTGGAATGGATAGATTGCAAAATTGAATCCCAAAATAGGAAAGTAGAAGACCACATGGCATCAGAAGCCAACTTAATAATAAGACAACAAGTCATGCATGACACAATCACCCTAACAATCGTATATTCTCCTATGATACCGTCAAAAAGTTGAGGAGATTTATGAGAAAAGAACAAAAGGAACGGAGAATTTTTTTTAAAACTTCAGTTCCATTTCAGAGCTTTTCCTTTTAGCATGCTCTTTTTATGAAGTAAAACCATTTAGTATTCATCTGATAACAATAAAGCAATAACAAGAAGGACAAACTTTGTCAAGATAATGATTTAGCACCGGGGTACCTCAAGGTTAAAATAACAATGGAATAGGAATTTGAGAACACATCTTTGCACCAGCGATAGCCAATATAAAATTATGAACCAAATGCCATGCTTTATTTTTTATATTTATCTTTCATTAGTCTAATTAAGAGTAATAATACTACACCAAAAGCATCAGGGAAAACTGACTATTTTGAATCACAGATTTTTTTATTTTCTTTTTCTTTTTCTGTTTACATTTGAAAGACTCTTTCTCTTCCCCAGGGGACACAGCTGAATTGAGCTAGTTGAGAAGGAAGCTATTAGAGATATAACAATGATTTAAGACTTGAAACGGATATTTCAGAGGTTCCAATTCATTTGTCAGCATTCAACTCAGAGGCACAACTTTGCAAAATTCCAACCCAGGATAGAAATACTGAGTTTTTTATTTTTTATCTTTTTAAAAGAAATTTGATAACTCCATATGTTTAATTTTTTACAAGAAATATAGTCTTAAAACTAAGGGAGACTCCAGCTCTCCAGTTACTAACTTAGGTTTGGCTGTGATTCCATTTAATTTTGAGTTCTATAAGGAGGCTCTCGCTTATGCTTCTTTGAGGAGATGGTTTGCATATTGCAAGTAACATGAAAGCACACAGGATATTCCCAAACGTCAACAATAAATGCCCAATAATACACACACACACACACTATACCTCATCAAATCTAATTAGAGTGACAAACAAACGAATGTCTGCTTCAGTTAGTGTGTTGCCACATATATAGCGTTGCTTGCTTAGTATATTCTCACATTTGTCCAAAGCTTCATACAATTGTCTTGCAGCCTGCACAAAGGACCAAGTAAACAGTTTCAATTTCCTAAGTACATAAGCCTTATAATGAATGTAAACATTAAAGTATTATCTGTTCCTCAAAAAACTTAAAAATAGCTACATACATCATTGTATGGTTCTTGCATCTTCGCAAACCCACACTTATAAACACCATTGTTTATACCATCGTATATCCACTCATTAGTTTCATCAATTTGGGCTTTCAAGTCAGTCGGATACAAGTCCAAGGTGGGATTTTCTGCGACATTGTTGAATTCAGTGTTAAACATGCGGATTATCTCTGAACTCTCGTTGTTAACAATTGTCTTCAGTTTCTTATCCCACAGAACCTGTGCAGATTAAAATCCATCAGTTGACAATAAACATCTGCTCAGTAAGGCAAATAAAAAAAAAAACCAAGAAAGAAGTCAGTCCATCCTAAAGAGAAAACATACAGGAACAGTGAACTTTCCAGTGTAGTTTGTACTTGCAATTTCATAAAGTTCCCTAATAGTCTTCGCTCCATTCAACAGATCAGGTTCAGCTCCTAGCACCTCAGTTTTTGAATCAGGGAAAACCCATCCCATATATTCATCTGATTCTTTAGTTCTTCCCCAGATGGGTTTGACTGACTGATAATTAAGCATAAAAGACATGAAACTCTGGATTTGGAGGAACAAATGTAAATTAGTCTATTTTAAAATATTCAACATGAAGCCTACTAACCGAGAAACTGATGGCTTTTTCAAGTCCTTTGATATTCAAGTAAGCAAGGCACCTAGAAGCCCAAGGACAAGCATATGATATATAGAGATGATACCTTCCTGACTCTGCTGGAAATTGGGAATTTGGGTCCCTTGAAATGAATTGTCTGAATGTGGAAGCAGATCTCACAAATGCACCAGTGTCTGACATCTCATCCAATGAAGATCGCGCCATTGTAACAAGATGCTAAGCAGTAGATATTTTAAGATCGAATCACAAAAACCTCCAAATCTTCAAAGTAAAATAACAGTATAAAATAAAACTTAGTTCAACAAGAAATATGATTTGATATGAGAAGCATACACTAGACAAAACATTGCAACTACAGACTCAATCAAATCTTAAAAGCATGATGCCATATTATAATAAAACCTTCAGTTTTGTTTCAAGTGGCTTGCCTAACAGAAAAAGTGCCTCCACTATAGTGACACTTTCAAGTGAAGCTTTTATCTTTTGGTCAACGAATCAATTTCCTACCTAATCAGTTCAATCCATACACACACACACACACACACACAAAAAAACTGGTACTTTTCATCCGTGGGAAAATTTAACTCAGGCTAACATCCAAACAATAATAGAAATCAATTATCAGGTAGTTCATTTTCTGTGAAAGGATCATCATCTCAACAAGAGATTTCTCCTATTCAGCAAATCAATAATACGATTTCACCCATAAAAGCATACAATATTCAGCTAAAAAGAAAATTGATATGCATGAATAATGAATTTTAAGATTACACAGCAAATTCCCACGATTTCTATATTGCGTACCTAAAAGCAAGAGAGAAACAAAGATATGTAGTTTTTGATGAAACATAGATAGATACCTTCTTCACCTCGTAGTTGTTGTTGTTGTAGTAGTCAAAGATGAAAGGAGCTTTTAATAGTGATCTCGAACGGAACATGATTATAGTACAATTATAAATAAATGGAGTTCTCTTCTGTAACCATACTTAGGAATTACGATTAAGGAACTGCTGTACTCAAAACACGTGTTTATGCTTAACGAATCTACCTTCAAATGTAGATGCTAACACATACTTCACATTGTTTCACAAAGATTTTAGGGGGTTCTAATTAAATAATATTCTTTAATAAAAAAAAAATTAGGCTAATGCGTTGGATTGCTAATCTATTGTACGATTTTTTGTTAATTAAGTGATGGAAATGACCAATTATTAATTAGTTGAAATAATCTATCACAAAACCATTTCTTGTCACCGTAATATATCTATGTTGGAATCATGGAATGTACTGAAAGATCCCACTAAGTGTAAAGCAATTAAATTTATTTACAGAGTAAAGCCCATTGCTAGGCTTACAGAACGGCCCAAATTTATTGGACATGGGGCAAACTATCCCTTTGCCATTGTCCAATTTTTTAAAATAATTTTTTTTTATTTCTTCAACTTTTCTTTATCAATTGTTTCATTTCATGAGTTAATACAAAAAGGTATGTTAGATATTTTGGCTTTTTGACCACTATAGCCTTTTTTTTAATAATTAATTACCAAATTAACATTATTTATAAACTATTTCAAAAATTTAACCTCCTTAGAAAACATAACACCAATCTGCCCCTATTTGACCGTTGACCATGAAACCTACCCTGATATATTTTGAAATTTTTTACCTACTCGAGTACACCCCTCCCTACTCGGGTATATTTCTTGAATCTGAAAAAAAGTTTGAATTATTTATCCGGGTAGGTAGGGGTGTACCCGGATAAATAATCATACAGAAAATGAAATACAACATCTCAGAAATTCAACTGTACACTCTTAGAAATTAATGCAAAAATGTACAGAGCTGCATCATAAGCTCATATAATACACTAAATAAGATCACAAAAAGGAAGTGAAGCATACAGAAAACATCTTCTCAGTAACGACTTTTCTTAATGACTTTTTGTCACCATTAGCTATTAGAGTATTTATCTGGAGAAAAAGAAAAGAAACTTCAGCATTGAGCCAAAAGAAGATATGCCAAATGAAATCATGGAGCTAAAGAAAAACAAAATAGAATAAAATGCATACTACAAGGCAAAAAGAAGGAAACTGCCAAGAACTAATGACGATAAATTGTCCTAACTGAGAAAACTTCAAGGCAGTTTTCTCAAATTTATTCTCCTCGATGGTATAGCTCCCAAGTAACTATATCACTCTGAATTGGCCTTTCTTCAATGTCTTACTTCTTTCCAACAATACACCTCTCCAAATCTATTAAATGATATCAATCTTGCATCTATGTTCTGTCAAAGGAACTGCATGCAGCAAATCCTGGTACTCACAAGGCACGACAGAGGTGCAGAGCCAAAAAATAGATTAAGTATATTTGATTCATGTACACCATGGTAGAGTTGCAAATGGCAGAATGAGTCATAAGACAGAACACCATGGTGTTATTTGATTCATGTACCTGATTCTAACTAGTGGGTAAGGCTTTTGTTTTTGTTGTTTGTTGTTGGGAGAATGAGTAAAAGAAATAAAACCTCAGTAAAGGCTGCAAAAATGTAAAATATTGTCAGAAAGTCTTCATTTTCCCTTATTGTTTGTTGTTGGGAGAATGATTATTTACCCGGGTACACCCCTACTTATCCGGGTAAATAATTCAAACTTTTTTCCCGTTCAAGAAATATACCCGGGTAGGGAGGGGTGTACCCGGGTAGGTAAAAAATTTCAAAAAATACCCAGGTAGGGAGAGGTGTACCCGGGTAGGCTTCATGGTCAACGGTCAAACAGGGGCAGATTGATGTTATGTTTTCTGAAGAGGTTAAATTTTTGAAATAGTTTATAAATAGGATTAATTTGGTAATTAATTATTAAAAAAAAGCTATAGTGGTAAAAAAACCTAGATATTTTATTTAACTTATGTACCAAAATATATTTATTTGAAATATTACTTTTTGAAGAATAATATTATATAAAAGTAAATAGTTGACCCATAAGGCCATAAGGCGCTGGTTTAATAATAAACAAGAATTAAAAAAAAAATCAACTTGGGCAATTTTTTTCTTCAAAAAAATAAAAAATAAATTAATAACAGATATGTGTTTTTTAGTCGCTTGTAAATTGCAGCACGGTTTCTTGGTTCTTTCGCATTCATGGTTCGGGAAGACTTTTAAAAGTCAAGTTCCGCGTGAGAGAATGTATATCCTACATCCTTTTTTTTTTTTTTAAATAATCCAATCGGTTCATAGTTTCGCAACTAATTTGATTCGGGGCGGGTCCAGGATTAAGGTTTTAAACCCCTTCCAAAATAGTACTGGAGAGATTCAAACACATGCTCTTACTTCCCAGCTTAGTTAAGCTACCACCATTTGGTATCCTACATCCTATTCTTATCAATGTTTTCTATGCGCAACACTACAATTAATTATTAATTTTTAATAAATTATAATTGTTAGATCGATAAAAATCAATGACTAAAATTTAATGATAAGAGATAATAAAAAAAATGATAAGTATAATCTTCCCCAGTCAGTTTACAGTTTTGTGCTGTGATTACCAAAATTCTGAATATGAATTAACTACAATTACGATTGTGATATGGTTACAATTACAAACACCAATCAAACCGTAATAATACACCCCAATGTAAAACCATGTTTAATGTTTGGACTTTGGATCACATAGACCCAACTAAAGTTATTAAAACAAAAATAAAAAATAATTGAGGGAACAGTCAAAGACCACCTGTTCATACTGAGAACAAGTTGATTTTGTGTGCCATAATATTCAACCACAAAGAAGTGTGTTGCTACTGCAACCTTACCTTGATCAAACAAGTGTTACAGTATGCTTAGTGGCAGCAGCACAAGACAGAAACAATTATCATGTCCACCCAAAATGACAAACCAAACACTCACAGTTACAGCTGAGGCTTCTTCTTCTTCATGTGATGCAGCAGCACCTCTTAAAAAACAAGATGTTTTTATCAGTTTTAGAGGTGAGGATACACGCAACAACTTCACAAGCCATCTTCATGCTGCTTTTTACCAAAACAAAATCCAAACATTCATAGACTACAGAATCCCCAAAGGAGATGAGATCTCTCCCTCAATTTTTAAGGCCATCAGAGAGTCCAATGTGTCTGTGGTTGTTCTGTCCAAAGATTATGCTTCCTCCACGTGGTGCTTGCGTGAACTTGTCAAAATACTTGAATACAAGAAACTTGGTGGACATTTTGTTATACCTGTCTTCTATAAGGTTGATCCGTCCCATGTGCGGAAACAGACTGGTACTTACAAGAAAGCTTTTGAAAAATACGAGAGAGATGTCAAACATAACATGACCAAGTTGTTGAAGTGGAAAGCTGCTCTCACTGAAGTTGCCAATTTAGTTGGGTGGGAATCACGGAATTACAGGTAAAAAAATCTTTTCTTTTTTGGGAATAAAAGTAAATCTTTGAAGAGCTACTTAGTGATTTTTAACCTCCTCCAACCACCTTATCTTCGGAATACGGTCCTAAGGCTAGCTACTTATTAAAACAGAGGATGCAGGATGCATTGGACTTTTGTCACATGAGGAAGTGTGAAAGTAATCTCCCTCCGGTGAGACTAGCCCCCTTCGAGAGAGAGACAGTTTCCCTCCGACTCCAAAGAATTTCAAGAATTTGCTTTGGCCACGGTTTGAACCTGACTAAAGCAAACTCTTGGACACTCAGCTTGCCAATTGAGCTATGCTTGATGGTTCAGTGATTAAGTAGCTTGTTTTATCCATTTCCTTCCAAACTCAGATTAGCTTAGACATTTCAATGTAATTTTTTCCACTTAATGTTGCTTAGTTTTACTGAGAATCTTCACAATTGCTGGTGTTGTTGCATATGACCTCGAGGTCACAAATTTGATGCATGTAATTAGCCTCTTGCAAATGTATGGTAAAATTGTGGATGTTGTTTGTCGCACACGACCTGGAGGTCATAAATTCGATGCATGTAATCAGTCTCTTGCAAATGTAAGGTAAAACTATGGATGTTATCACAAATCACCTGGAGAACACAAATTTGATGTATGTAATTAACCTCTTGCAAATGCAAAATAAGACTTTGAATGTTGCTCGCATGTGACTTGGAGGTCACAAAGTCGATGTAATCAGCCTCTTATAAATGTAAGACTATGTCTACTATAGCTCACATAATAGGTTCTGATGCATCTCTAGACTTCGTGCATGGCCTGAGTTTTCTGCTATGAAGCACGACTTCGACACGGCGTTTTCGATACGTTCCAAATACGTTCTCGATACGACCATTAATTCGTCGATACGATACAATACGTTTCGGATACGCGTATCCAATACGTTGGGAAAAAAAATTCGGAGTATCGGTGCTTCGTAGGTTTTCTGGCACTAATTTGCACTTTTTAATGTTGCTTTACATGATTCTGATATTAACATTATACTTCTCTCTCTTCTGTTTTCCTCATTGAAAAGATTGGTGATAAGATTTCATGCTAATCTACTATAGCTTATTATCAGAGATCTCATCAACATCATATGAAGATGCTTTACATTCTTTCACTTCAAATACATTCTTCTCTTTTATTTTAAGGTAACTAGCTATGTTAATTTTTTTTTACTTATGATGCAATATTTCATCTTTGTTTCTTTTTATGCATGCTAGGACGGAATATGAACTCATTGAAGAAATTGTCAAAGATGTCATGCAAAAACTAGATCGTATATATCCCACTGAAGTAAAAGATCTTGTTGGAATTGACCAGAATCTTGCTTGTATTGAATCATTATTGAGAATCAGGTCAAGAGAAGTTCGAATAATTGGAATGTGGGGCATGGGAGGAATAGGTAAAACTACTATTGCCAATGCTTTGTTTGCCAAATTATCTTCTCAATATGAAGGTAGCTGCTTCTTGGCAAATGTAAGGGAAGAATTCCAAAAGCAAGGCCCTAGTTGTTTACGTAATAAGCTTCTTTCTGAGGTACTAGAGGATGTAAATCTCCATATTAGCACCACCACAGTAAGATCCACTTTTGTTACGAGGAGGCTTAGTAGAAAAAAGGTTCTAATTGTGCTTGATGATGTGGACCATAGGGAGAAACTAAAATATCTTGCTGCAAAACATGATTGCTTGGGACCAGGTAGTAGAGTCATTGTCACTACCAGAGATAAGCATGTCCTTAGCGAAGGGGTGGATGAAATCTATGAGGTCAAGGGATTGTCCCTTCATCATGCTGTTAAACTTTTCAGTTTAAATGCCTTCAACAAAACCTATCCTGAAACGGGGTTTGAAATGCCATCTAAAATGGTTGTTGATCATGCAAATGGCAATCCATTGGCTTTAAAAGTTTTAGGTTCAGTTCTCCATTCCAGAAATGAGCAACAATGGGACAGTGCTCTGAGAAAACTCATGAAGGTCCCTAATGCGGAAATTCAGAATGTGTTAAGATGGAGTTATGATGGATTAGATGATGAAGAAAAAAATATGTTTCTGGACATTGCATGCTTTTTCCGAGGAGAGAATAAAGAAGATGTTATGAGGCTACTAGATGTTTTTGGTTTCTTTGCAGATATTGGAATAAGAAACCTTTTAGACAAAGCTCTAATAACTTTTTCAGATGCCAATGAAGTGTGCATGCATGATTTGATACAAGAAATGGGCAAGGAAATTGTTCATCAGGAATCTATCAAAGACCCTGGAAGGCGTAGCCGATTGTGGGATCCAGAGGAAATCTATGATGTATTGAAAAACAATAGGGTAAGAAAGCACATGTATCTGGCTGCAAAGCTGGCTAATATGATACTTTTTATTGAATAACATTCTAGTGTTTTTTTGTCAGGGAACTGATGCAGTTGAAGGCATGATCTTAGATGTGTCTCAAATAAGAGTCTTTCCACTGAGCTATGAGACCTTCTCAAGAATGATCAATCTAAGATTTATCAAATTCTATATGGGCAGGGGTAGGACATGCAATTTGCTCCTTCCTTCAGGTCTTGAATCATTGTCTAATAAATTGAAGTTCCTTCACTGGGATGGATACCCTTCCAAGTCTTTGCCCTCAACTTTTTGTCCTGACAACCTTGTTGTGCTTTCCATGATGGGTAGCCATGTTGAAAAACTTTGGGATGGAATCAAGGTAATTTCTTGTATTATACAACCGAAGGAAAAATTGTATGTTTGTGCTATTAAAGCCATTTTTTTTTCACTCTTTGTTGCTGCAGAGTCTTGCAAGCTTGAAAGAGATCAACCTCCGTGCTTGCAAGAATTTAACTGATCTCCCAGATTTATCTCTAGCGCCAAATCTTGAAAGTGTAGATCTTTCTCATTGCACAAGTCTGCTTCATGTTCACTCATCTATCCAATATATCAACAAGCTTCTTTTGTTTAACCTGGAATCCTGCAAGAACCTTAAGAGTCTTCCAAGTAGCATTCACTTGTTTTCTCTTAAAATGTTCATTCTCAAAGGCTGTTCAAGTCTTGATGAGTTTTCAGTGACTTCAGAGAACATGACACGCCTGGACTTAAGAGGGACAGCAATAGAACATTTTCCAGCATCAGTTTGGCAGCATCTGAGCCAGCTTGTTTACTTGAATCTGGAATCCTGCAATAAGCTTAAGAGTCTTACATGCAACATTCACTTGTTATCTCTTAAAAGTCTCAATCTTAGAGATTGTTCAAATCTTGAAGTGTTTTCTCTGACTTCGGAGAACATGGAGTACCTGAATTTGGGAGGGACATCAATAAAAGAATTGCCAAAATCTGTTTGGCGCAACAACAAGCTTTTTACTTTGGTTCTTCGTTCCTGTAAAAGACTTGTGAGTTTTCCTGACAGACCAAAACTTGATGAATTGCCTCTCATTCTCAAAGAGCTATACTCTTCTGAAAGGTCAAATGTGGATGAACCATGGACTTTGTCATCCTTAGCAGATTTATCACTAAAAGGAAGCAGTATTGAGAATTTACCTGCAAGCATCAAAGATCTTCCAAGATTGAAAAAACTTACCTTGACTAAGTGCAAGAAGCTTCGGTCTCTACCAAGCCTTCCACCATCCTTGGAAGACTTATCCCTAGATGAAAGCAATATTGAGTGTTTACCTGTAAGTATCAAAGATCTTTATCATTTGAAAAAACTCACCTTAGTTAACTACAATAAGCTTTTGTTTCCACCAGAGCTTCCACAATCCTTGAAAACTACATCACTAAGTGAAAGTAAAACTGATTCCTTTCTTGGGAGCATGAAAGATTTTTCTCATCTACAAAAGCTTCCTCTGATTAAGTGGAAAAGGCTTCATTCTCTACCAGAGCTTCCACCATTCTTGGAAGATTTATCACTAGATGCAAGCAATATTGAATGCATACCTGTAAGCATCAAAGATCTTTCTCATCTGAGAAAACTAGCCTTAATCAAGTGCCAGAAGCTTCAATATTTACCAGATCTTCCACCATCCTTGGAAGATTTGTCTGTAAATGAATGCAATATTGAGAGCTTGCCAATGAACATCAAAGATCTTTCTCATTTGCGAAAAATCACCTTACTTGAGTGCAAGAGGCTCAGGGCTATACCAGAGCTCCCCCCATGCCTGCAATTGTTTTGTGCAGCTGACTGCAGATCACTCGAGTTTGTTCCAAGTTCAAAGACTGTCTTAATACAAGATAGGCATGCATTCTATTACAATTGCATAAACTTGGATCACAATTCGCGCAACAATATCATTGCAGATGCACCCTTTGAAGCAGCTTTTACTTCTTTGCAAGAAGGAACACCTGTGGGACCTCTCATATCTATTTGTTTGCCAGGAGCTGAAATCCCAGACTGGTTCAGCTACCAAACAACAAATTCTTCACTGGACATAGAAATTCCTCAACAGTGGTTCATTGATTCAAAGTTCTTAGGCTTTGCTCTATGCCTTGTAATTGGTGGTTTCCAGCAAAACAGTTATGAAGGCTATGATCCAGATCTTAATTGTTATCACTTTGTCAAGCCTGCTGGTAACTCTGATCCCAATGTTCCCTTTCTTGGCCATTGCACAACCATAATGCAGGTGCCACGAGGTTTTAATTCAGATCATATATTCATATGCTATTATCCGGCTTTTAATGTTTCCATAATGCAAGATTTCAAGGATTTAGCCAAGTACTATGATTCTAACAACCTGAAGCTAAGAATCATTTTCAAATTTAAGGGTCCATCTCAAAGGTTGGACATTGTAAAGAAGTGTGGGGTCAGACCACTATTGATTGCTAATACTGAAAGGCTTCATGTTGAAAGTGAACTACAACATGAAGAAAAGGAAGTGTTAAAGTGAAAATGGGGAACAACAACCTGAAGCAAATGAAAGGATTTGTATCCTGTGGTTGCTGAGTAATACAGTACATCCTTGAAGCCATAGAGGTACGTTACTCTAAAATCTGCTTTCAACCATATTATTTTTCTAGCATCCATTAGATCCTTTTAGGGAATCCCCCTATCTTTGGTATTACTTTTAACATCATTGTTAAGGAATAACACTTTCCATGAACAGGTCATTTTTCTGAAGAACTTTTAAGGAATCCAGGGGTAATCCAATAACCTGGTTTCATCCCTTGCAGTGATCCAAAATGGTTGGGGGATACGCAGCAAGGTCTTCATATATAAAAGCAGATATATTTCAGCGTTCCAAATGAGGGGGGAGGGGGATTCTTCTGTCTAATTTCCTATGTTACATCAGTATGCCATTTATGCTGAAGTTCCATTTACAAGAATTCCATCTCATTCAAAGAGTTAATTCCACTCCTGTTAACTACTTGTCACCCTTTTTTTTTTTCGTCAAAACCACTTTTGATGAAATTATAATTAATTATCATATATATCTTACATCGATAATTGTAGAATTTAAAAAAAAAAAAAAAAACTAATAATATGATTAAGTTGTTCATATTTTAATTGTTAAAGAATATTTTATATTAATTTTAAGACACTTTGATGAAATGGAAAATAATACCATGTAATCTTATCCAACCGATAAAACAAGAATAACGCTATTTACACAAATCAACATCAATAATACTTTTATCCCAAACTTAATACTACTTGCACAAAAAAATGCTGCAATTATAATCGGACAATTAAAATATACGAAAATTATATTTATAATTCTATTTTCGTTACATGCTAAATTGTTTTTGCAGTATCTACATTTATTTTTTTAACTGCAGAGGATCGTGATCCCATCTCAAATTTCATTATCTAATTATAAATGGTCACCACCTTAACTTCTGCATTATTTTACTTTGATTCAACCACCTCACGTGTGAGGTGATGTAAGTCTTGGTATTGCGCATCCAGTATTCATTATTCTAACAATAATCTCTTGCTTTATTCTGAGAAATGACAGAGAAACAGAGTTTCAATGTCTTGAAAAATAATGTAAAATAACAAATGAAGTGAGTGATAAAATCTTACTATTTACCAAAATAATAATAATAATAATAATAATAATAGAATCTTGCTTTATTTCTTCATCAACTAATGAAAAATATCAGTTACATATTGCAATTCCACCAAAACCGTGCAGTGATGAAATATGCATCTCTAATGCATGCTATATTGTTAGTCGTAATACAATACAAGAGCGAACCATGCATCTCTACAATGTTTTCAGTATATTTTAGCTCGCTTCTAGTGTGGACTCCAACCCAGTATTTACCTACAATAAAGTATAAACATACAACAAAATTGTACAACTACATGGACAAGAACCTGCAGATGTCTTAAGGCCTGCAATGTTCAGAGCGATAACATGGCTTCAAGGATTATAATCTTGTATATTAGCCAAAGATATAGAGGATTCCTAATATGCTATGCTGACAGACTTGGTATAAGTTGGGATTTACAGTAATTCCAAACATCGGATACATGCAAAATTCATAAGCCTGCTCACAAGGCTGTCTGGTTCTGGCATCAGAGCAGATGTCAAGCTGTTCCAGAAATGAAATGTCAATGACTCGTGCAATATTTTCTCCAGCAGAGCATCTTGCTGATCTTTCTCAGTCTCTGTTGCCGGTGCAATAAAGTATCTGTTTACAGTTTAACTTAGTTAAGGTACACAAGCACAAAAATAAAAGTAAACAAAAAAGGCAAGGCGGTATCACTATCACTCTCCAAATCAGACTCAAGCAATAGACCCAAAAAAACCACTCCTTATTAAATCTTGACTAAAGAGGGTGGGGTGAGGGTAGTCCTTGTATACAACCTTACCCTACATATTTGCAAAAAAGTTGTTTCCCGGATTCGAAACTGTGACCTTTTAGTCACAAAGAAGCAATTGTTTTCCGGACTCAAAGCAATAAACCCAACCACTGAAAAATGCCTCCACAAGTATTTCTAATCAACCCTATGTCACAAATGTAATCCTAATCAATTGAGATAAATGTCAATTTACCTTGTAATGTTTTGAGAACTAATAGGGAAGAAGATATAGGAGGGTTCCACTTTCAATTCCAACCGTTTAATAGATTTGTTCTCCTCTCCCAAAAATTTTCGTGCAACCCTTGTCAATAGATCAGCACCATTCCATCTTAAACGGGTATCATCATATGTCATATAGAACTCTTCCAAGCACTCCTTTATGAACGGACTGCATAGAGCGAAGAGTCAGTCTCAAAGAAAGTCCAATTCTATGCAAAACAAATTAATTGCATTTGCACCTATCACTCTATAATTCAAATTGATTATAAAAAGGCATGGCAACACACATTTCAATCAGAATGTTCATAAACTAGCCTCAAAAAATATAGTTCAATGTATATTTGTAATTTGTAGCTGTTCTAAAAATTCAAGATCTCACAAACAAGAATTTCAGATTTTCATCTTTCATTATCCTCATATCGATTCTCATAAACAGAATCCAACTTTATATCTGTCTCAAAAGGGAAAATTCTAACTTCCGCCTTTGCAGTGTTAAACTAGGATAACAGATAGACTCATTCATTATCACAACTGCTCTTATTTCTGTCGCAATAGTCAGAAGTTATATGGTTCATGGAGGATATTAGCAGACTAGCAGTTGGCTACGTAATTTAAACAGCAGTGTAATTATTTAGGTGTAAAGGTTCCCAGCTTTGTGCTTCAGACTTTCCTTCTTTGTTTCTGAACTCACGGTAGTTCTTAAATCTATTGTGGCAAGTGGCAAGTGGCAACTAAGAAATGAATTTCTATGACGTCCTTTATTTTGTTTATAAAGGACATCACAGAATTGATGTGCATCTCCATATGATAATTACAGTGACAACACAACAGTGGAATTGATCAAGCTAGAAATGTGCACATGTTATGCTTATTCATGCACAATTGTCACATTCTCAATAAATACTCTACAGTCTACCGGATTATAAAAACAAATTAAAACCAACTCAAACGCAAAGGAATATTACGGAAAGTGCATCCAGCTACAACAACCAAGCTTTATCACATTAGGTGGGTTCCGCTACATGGATCAAACTGACGCCATTGAGTTTTATAAAAAAATGATGCTATAGAACAAAGGACAAAAGTGATGCTCTTCAACGAAGAAAAAAACATACTCAGTTCATGATAGAGTAGGATTGAGATGTTCGTGATCCTCATTTAATAGCTTCCTTTAAAAACATGTTTACAAAATGAAATCAATCTGGAAAGTAGAAACCATGCTAACATACCTGTGCCTCCCAAAAGCCATCACAGCACCATTCAAAGCACTTCCAGCAACGTGATCCTCCATACCAACAGAATTATTAAGGAAAGAAATTGGCTTCAAAACTATAATATCTGAGTCTAGATAGATCCCACCATACCTGGTAAATCAAATCAAAACAAAATGTCATTGCCACAATTGATCCTTACACTTTTCCCCAGAAATAAAATTCAGAAACAGTCAGCTCACAGTTTACTCCAATTAATGCACAGCAAATACCATCGGCATGTTGAATACATCACAAAATTATTTCACAAATCACAACTAAGTAACCGCTACCTACTAGCCAGCACAACCGAGAAAGCTTACTTGTACAGAGCAGCAAGACGGATAAGCTCACTATAATGAGTAGAATAAAACTTTGTCTTTCTCCATTCAAACCAGACCGAAGAAAAAATGTGAGCAGGCGTATCCTTCAGCAGCTCATCAAGATTCGGCATAGCAACAGCAACTTTGTAACTGATAAAACCAATTCCTTAGCAGAAAATGCGAAATTCAAACAACACAGTAATGTTACTTGCAAAGGAAGAGAATGCAGGGTAATGGGGTGGATAACTACCGGTCCTTGACGAAGTTATCTTTGAAGAAATCGAGCTCAATAGTCTCGGAGAACACAACAACACATGCATGAGGGTGGTGAAAGAGCAAACTCTCGAGGCTACGTTGATGCCGAACACTAAACATCCAAGGTGGTGAATTCCACACCATAAACACCCTCATAACGCATTTACCAATCCTTAAAAAGGAATCCATGAAGTCTACGAAGGTCAAATGCAGAGGCAAACCAGGATAGTATCCCCAACTATTACCATCTGCATATATATGATTCACAACACTCTTCCCTTGAATGCCATCATTAACAACAATGACATCTTTCTTAATAGGTCTATTATCATTCAAGGTTTTTCGTTCTGCGCCTACTTTAGAAGTATCTAAATTACCATTGTCAATGTTGAGAAGAATCTTCTTATTACCAGGGAACGGCACTCTCTTGAATTCATTCATCCACAACTTTTGCACGATCCGGTCACCTCTGGTGAGACCGGTGGCGGCGACGCCGATGCCGCCGTCGGGATCTTGAAGCAGGGGATTGTTGATCGGATTCAAGACGTCGAAATTGGACTTGAACATCCTGTCTTTCCTCAGAAACACGCCTTTCTTATCGAACCACTCACCCCAGCCTTTCCTCAACGGAGAAGCTTTCAGCAAAAGCGCGTCCTCCATTCCAGTCAACTGCGTCGCCTTCGTCCTCACGTCGTCGTCGACGGGCATGTCGTCGGAGCCGAACGCCGCCTTGGATCGATCCTCGGGAGTGGATCTCCCGATGGTGAGTTTCTCGTCGGCGTCGTCCCATTGGTGGATGGAAGAAGGAGTGGTTATGAAAGACCGGCGAATGGAGGCCGTGAGAGGATCGAAGAAATAGGCGGAAGCCTTAACGTTGAGGGCGTCGTGGTGGTCTTGTTGCTCGTCGATGATGATGTCGAGCTCGTCGATGGGGTCTTCGGCGGCGGAGATAGAGAGATCGGCATCGTCGGAGTCGGAGAGGAGAGAGGGACGGAGGTAGTTGGAGTGAGGGTGGGAGAGAGAGAGGCGAGAGTAGAGAAGGGAGACAGAGAGAAGAAGGAGGACGGCGGAAATAACGGCGCACAAGTAGGCGCCGTAAGGGGAGCGCCGCCGGGATCGGAGGTTTCTCAACATTGAACTGAAACTACATTCGCCACTCTCTCTTTCTTTGTAAACTTCAACCCCTGGTCTTAGTTTACCCCAAGTAACGTTGACTTAAATTGAGAGCAAGTCACTTTAAAATTAGAGTAAATATTCTTTTCATCCTCACAACAACAAAAATACGAAATTTATTTTAATTCTTAAAAAAAAAAAAATTAACTTGTGATTTTTTGATATTTCAGTTCTTTTAAATTGTGATTGATCGTAAATTCAAGATTAAATTACATAAAATAACCAAAAACTTCAAGTGTTTTTTAAAAGATCACCTTGCACTTCTAATTAAAATAATTAACCACCTTATACTTCAACATTTCATCAATTAGACATATTTTATAAATTTAAGACAAAAATATCCCTTCTTCAACCTGGTATCATATAACTCTGCTTACAAGTGCTCCACAACAAAAACTAACCGAAACAAAAATGGATAATCTTTAAAAAATTGATAATCCTTCTTCTTACTCCATAGTCTACTAATATCTTCCTCGTAAATTAACAAAGATGCAATGTATTAAATCATGAGAGAGTTTGTTTTATAATGGAAAAATAGAAAAAGGACGTTTCGTTGAAGATGTTGAATTTCGATAGGCAGCAATATATCAAGGAAAGTAACATCGACAACGAAGAATCTTCCATCCATTTCTAAGGATTTTTTCAACAGAAAATGAAGGATGTGATGCAAACAAGAAGAAATGCAGCCTATTATTTTCTCGAGAGGCAAATATTTATGAGTAAAGCCTTCTAATTTGTCTAATATAGAGATCGTTGACAAGAAATAAGTTTAGTAGGTATTGCCAAGAGTAGCAATGGTTAGTAGCAGATTGATGGCAAAGGATATTTTTGTCATAAAATTATTAAATATGTTTAATGTTAAAATATAAGTTTGTTTATTGATTCAATTCAAAACTGTATAATTTAGCCTAAATTCAAAGAAAATTTACGTTAATTCTTCAAAAAGTACTACTATAGGTACCTGTTTTTTTAAAATGGGTTATGTATGTTTTATTGAGAACTTAAAAAGGTATTTATTCTAAAAATTATTTGGAAAAAGTTCAAAAACCCTCGTGGTATTGCTTTACACTTGTATTTTTTTTTCTTAATCACTCATCCCGTGTGATTTTTTCTATTCACATCACTTCTTAATACTGTTAGAAAATTAACTAGGTATACATATTCTATTCTTTTTATAAGAAGGAAAAAAAAATAGACTACATGTTATGATAAATTAAAACACTTAATAAAATACTAAACGAAAAATAGTAGAAAAAGCAAATGTGTCTAAATAAAAAAAATGAACAAAAAACAAAATCACAATTATGAATTTTCAATATATTTGTTTTTACTTTTTTCCTTGGGCTGTTTATTCTTTCTATTTAGATATGTATGATCTTTTTTATATCTCTATTTTATTCTCTCTCTTTCTTTTTTCTTTCTTTTTTTTACAAAAATCTTTAATAAATGGGGTGGCACAAGACTAAAAAAATCAAAAAGAAAATTAGAATAAAATAGACAAAAAAATGTAAATACAAAAGAAAAAACCAAACATATCTAAATAAAAAATGATAAAATAAACCAAGAACAAAAAAAGAAAAAATAAAGCTAAATATATTAAAAAGTCGTAACTGTGATTTCTTTTTAATCAAAATTTTTTTATCTTAATTTTTTCTTCCTTCTTTGTCTTTAGTATATATATATATTTCTTTTGGACTATTTTCATTTTTTTTAATTTTAGACAGTTGTGATTTTTAATATTTTTAATTTTATTTTTTTTGGATAAACCACATGTATTCTCCACGAGAGATAACTCTGTTCGAGGAGGGTTCAAAATTAAAGATTTAAACTCTTCTCAAAAATTGTATTGGAAAGAATCAAATACATGCTCTCACCATAATTGTTCAACTCTCATGCGCTAACTGAGCTACTATCATTTGATTTTTTCTATTTTTTTGTTCTTATTCTATTTGCTTATTTTTATACATTTATTTATTATTTTGAAACATTTGATTTTTCTTCTATTTAGCCTTTTATTAAGTGTTCTAAATTTTCATAACGATTGGTCTTATTTATTTATTTATTTATTTTTATCACTTTATTTTTTCTTCTAAAAAGATAAAATAAGTATACTTAATTAATTTTCTAATAGTGTTAAGAGGGTGTAGATGAAAAAATCACAGGGTTAAGTTATTAAAAAAAAAACACAATGGTGTAAGTGATTTAAAGCAATACCATAGGGTTTTTTGAACTTTTTTCAAATTATTTATATTTGAATTAACTTATAAAAAAGAGAACCAAAAAAAAATCTCTCTCAAACCAGCACCGACTAAGTTTGTTTTGAACTTATTTATATTTAAATTAATTTATAATAAAAAAAATTTGTTTAATTTTTTTTTTTAAAATAACAGTTAGTTTGGAAAAAAATATTCATTAATTTATCTATGTAGAATATTTTTTTTTATAGATGATTATAACTTATTCATTATGATTTATAAATGCACTTAAAAATAAAACTTTAATGTCTCTCAGTAAATATATAATTTATCTCATGCACATAATTATAAGTGATATGTATATGTAAGTAGGAGTGTTAATGGTCCGAGCCGAGCCGAGCTAAGATTTGATCTTAAAAGACTAAGTTTGTATTTAAATGTGTCACCATAAATCTCTAATCAAGCCTGCTACATGTTATGAATATAATTATCGGTCTGTGGCCTGACTTATTTACAAAAAAATAAAACCTTGATTTAACCTGTTAGCCAATTTGAAAAAAATAAGACAACAAAAATTTATCCAAACAAAATGTACAATCAACAACAGTACAACACTAGTAATTCCATAAATATTCATAAATTTAATATATATCCAAATAGCATAATATAGAACAAAATCATTTAAAAAATCTGTTTAACCAATAAAATGAGATAAAATGAATTGAAAAAATAGATATTACAAATAGTATAAAAAATATAAAATAAAAATTAATATACTAGACCAACCTGAGAGGCTCTAAGGCCGAACTTTTGAATTGAAGTCATTTTATTAAACGAGCTTTTATACAAGTCCAAATCTGATTCCAACAACCAATTTTAAGCATGTAAACTCAAGCTTTCACGAACCGAGCCAAGAGCCGATGATTCTTTTCGTTTATGACCCCTATGTGCAAGGGAAGGAGATAAATGTAGAAAAAACAATAACCCCTAAAAATAAATAAAAATACATAATCATATCACGTCAAATTAAAATGATTTATTCCCACATATAACTCGTTCTTACTCGGGGACTTAAACTTCTTATTTGTTTTATTTTTGCACTTGTCATTCGGGTAGTTTCAAAATGAAGCACGTAACATTAATCATTTGTGGGCATAAATAGAATTATTCACTGGCCTATTGAACTTCAAAAAAATATAATAAACAACAGTGAAAATTACCAAAAAACATTGAAAATAAAAAAATGGACTTCATAATTTAGGTTAATCATTTAGATTATTATTAATTGAGAAAATATTTCTGCACGTTAAAAACTGATTTCATATACCCACAAAACAATATCTTTTTGGGATTACTTCTCCATTGTAACATGAAATTTTTCAAAATACATTGTATTTTTCCCCCAAACTCCAAAATGACATCATCTTAGGTTAGGAATTTTATTGTGAAGGGAGAAATATTAAATCCTAATTAATTACACACGCTGACCTAAAGAAACATTAAACATTGGGGGCATTTGAGAGTGGGAGGGGGGAATTTCCATGCTACTAGTAAATCACAAGCATGTAAGAACAAACAGCAACCACCAAATGGGCAAAGGAACCAACAGACATCTGAAATTCAACAGCAACACTTTATGGTAGCTATGCCTATGTGCCTTCCATGAAATTAAAAGACCTACAGCCTTGAAGGGGAACCATATATTCTATCTTCTTATCAAGTAAAAGGATAGAAGTTTGAAAATAGCAAACTGCCAAGAAAAATATATGCTGCAGAGTATGCCCATATCATGTATCCCCATCTACGGCATTTTGCAGGATATGTCATTATATATGAAGCAAACCAATAAAGAGGAGGGCTTGAAGACAAGAAACGAGTGGCCACCTGTTGTATGTCAATTACCAAAAATTCACATTAGTGAGAAATTAAAACACTTAATCCATTCTAAAGCAACAAAAAGATATGACAGAAGTATGGTAGTGGGTAAGAGTAAAATTGGCAAGACAGAAAATGGAGGAATGAAAATGAGAGATGTATCTACAACTTTTTGTGTCCAAATACTTCGTCATTTTTCATTCCCCCGTTCTTCACCTCCCCAATCTCACTCCTATTATAGAGTACACCCTCAGTAACCACGTTAGAATATTTAAGCAATATTCAGGACCAGGTTTCCAAAGATATGATGATTAGCATAAGTTCAATTTGACACTGGTCAGTTTCTCGTGTTCAGCTCTCTTAACATAATTCACAGAAGAACAAGTCAACAACACAGTTGACACTAACCTGTACATGCATGACAAGAAAAGCAGTGCCAGCCATGAATCCCAAGTGTAACACAAAGGGAAGAACAGAAGCAGACAAGTATCCTGGCCTGGCTGTTGGTTCAGATTCTATGGGAACATTAACAGCGTCCCCTTTGATTACATTCTTTCTCCTCCTAAGATTGAAATATTCTGTTATAGGAGTGAATTGCGTTATAGTTGCAATTATAGTCAGATATAAAAAACAATTATATATCCAAGCGCAAAAGATTACACATGCTTATATGCAGTATAGAACAATGGATTAAGGAATTAAGCACAGCTTATAACTGTACAGATATCACCAAACAGGAATGACAAGACAAACAACACAAATGGCCAAACCACAGATGTGAAAGAATCAGAAAATAGCACCATCATAGAAACTGTCAAAGTGGTTTTAATAGTGATACCCAAGTCAGTGAATTACATATCGCCATTCCTCACACAACAATGTACTTCCAAGTATTAAACTATTGCAAAACACAGTTTTTGGTTCCAGAATTGTACCTTCTACCCTAACAGAGGATTTCTCCACATTGCTAGCTACTTTGGACCTTGAGAGATCATCTGACAAAAACATAACTCCACAGCTCTTTTCTTCAGTAGTAGTTTGAAAGCCCAAGGAGAAAAAGTTCAGAGGCCTTGACTTAGCATAATGGACAACTGCACAAAGTGCCAGAGACAGTATTGGGGATGCAAGAAGAAAGTTAGGCAACTGTTTCAGCTGAAAATACCTCAAGAAACCTACACCCCTGGACAATCAGAAATCAACAACCTTCACTGGAACATCCAAATATTTAAATCTCCAACTTTATAGTCTACAAAGAAAATACATCATAATAGGTTGCTTAGGCTAGAGTATAATAATTCAGCCAATGGCATAAAGCAAAAGAAATGAACAACACTTTTGGAACTTCAAAATGGACATACCAATAATGACTTTGAATATAATTGTAAAGTAACGGTATCCTTGCCTTGCACCAAGGCCTTATTTCATCAGGAAAACGTCCAACACACATATTGTAATAGCCATAGGCCTGGAAAGCTACAAATGGAGCAAAAATACATGCACTTCGTAAAGCTCCAACAATAACAATCTGCAATGCCAGCTGGCCAAATGACATATAGAATCAATCAAGAATTCCAGTTTATAATACAAAGTAACAATATTTGAAAACTGCTTCTTTTCAGTTGTCATGAAAATCAACCCTAGAACATCTACCTAATTACATGAGTTGTGCCTCTATGTCAGTCTATAAATGTTTATATAGCACAAAGTTAAAACTCAAATTAATGGGAAAAAAATTAATAGTTCTGCATATATCTACTTTCTACTTTATGACCTATCATTATATGTGAAAAGATCCACAACTCAGAGAACCCCGGAATTAAACTTAATTATCCGCATCAAACTTTCCATATAATGAAAAAGCAAACAAATTTCTTCAACAGGTAAAGCTAGCAGCTATGTTAACTGATTTCACCCTCTCTTTCCACATCAAACATCAACAATCACATTTGTAAATCTGCAACTTCCCGAGGCAGTTCCTTCAAATGTCCAAACCCAGAAAAACAAAAACAATCGCAGTAAAGAAAATACTTTAACCAATGTCATTCAAATAGAATGACTCAATGCAAACGACAATTTCCAACCATGTTTCCAAAATCATTTCTCAAAGGCATACACAATATGGAGAGGGTTAAAAAAGAAGGAAAGAAAAGGAACTCACAGTAACATGCTTTTTCTGAAACATAGCATCATAAGCCCGATGCATAGTCTGAAAACAGATATAGCCAGCATTAAGCACCCCATTAGACCTTGCAACACCAGAGAGAGCAAGAAAAATAACAGCTAAATTATTTCCACCAGTTACGAAGTAATACAATCCTCCAAATGATAGAAGAGCATACAAACTCTCTGAGTATCTGCCATTCCAAAAAAAAACAAAAAACAAAAAGATTATTTTCCTAAAATTAATTTAAATAAATAAAAAATACAAGAGAGAATGAGAACATTACATTGATGAATAGAATATAGATGCGGGATTAAAGCAGAACAAAATGGTAGCCCGTAATGAAATTAGAGGGTCCTTCAAGATAGTTATGGAAAGTTTATAGAAGTATAGAGCTGCGAGTACGAAAGCGAAATTGTTGATTACGTAAGCAGAAAAAGCGAGAACGGGTCTATGGCCAATGATGGTGACGAAGGGAGCAAAAAGGGTGCGAGTGAAGAAGGAAATGGAAAAGGGAAGGAAGGGTAAGAAGGCGTAGGACTGTTCATACTCGTAGCCACACTGAGCGCTGCGAACAAAGTAGACGGAGTCCCAAACGATGCCGTTTTCGATTGCCGAAGCTATGCGAGATTGGTGAGTGTTGTTTGTGGGTGTGGGTGTGGTGAGGCAAGGAGAGTTTAACGGTGCAGAGGTGTCGTATGGGGAAACTAGAGCGCGCGAGATGATGATTAGGGTTAACACTATGAGCCTTGAAAGTATTGCTGATTTTAATACCAATGCTTGATGAAGATGAATAGGAGGGTTTGGTGTCTGAACCATTTTGGAATGAGTGAACGAATCTGACAAAGATGAAGATGAAGACGAACAACTAAGGACATAATTTAATAGAGAATTTATTAATGGGATTAATGTTAACAAATAAATTTTATCTCTAAAATTACGTGGATCCATATTTTTTTTTTCTTTTCATATGCTTTTTATATATATATATATATATATATATATTAATATATTTGGAGATGATTTTCTCCGTTGCCGAACAGAAATCATCTCCTTTATCTCTCAATGTTTTAATTTTTTTTGTTTTTTATATTTTTTATGGGTTTTATTATTGTTATGTTACATAACATAACATAACATTAATTTCCAACACACATAATAATGGGGAGAGAAAAAATGAAATGATGAAAGAGAAAAAAACACATGTAAACCCCACCTCTTTAATGTGTGTGTAGGAAAGTGAAGTTATGTTATGTAAAATAATAAACATAAAAACAATTTTTTATTACCTTAAATGAAGGGACTCACATAAAAATATTTCTATAACATAAAAGATAAAAATGTTTCCGTGACATAAGTAAGTATAACCTCATATATATATATATATATATATATATATATATATATATATATATATATATATATAGCTTATTTACAGCTGTCATTTTTAACTATATTCTTCCGGAAGAATATAGTTAAAAATGGCAGCTATAGATAAGCTTATCTAAAGTTTCTGTAAAAATGTTTACCCCTATATATATATATATATATATATAGAGAGAGAAAAAAAAAAGAAAAACATCCTATATTATTTTAGATCTTAACCAACTTGAACACGGTATTGCATATATAACTGGGCAAGTGAGAAAAATGTGATAAAAATGATGACAATGTTATATCTTTTAACCTAATTTTTCTGGTAATTTTTTTTTCAACCAAACAATTTTTTTACATTTTCCTACCAAACTCACTTTCCAACCATTTTCCTATCAATCACATTTTTCTAATATTCAAAAAATTTCGCATCAACCAAATACTCCCTTGAACAATATCCAAAGCCAAGGATCCAGCGATAGTGACCCAATTTTTTTTTTAATTTAAATATTAAATAAAACACAGGAAAAAAAATGAAGATTTGGAATGGGCCCTCATCTATAAATGATGATAAGAACGGTTCGCAGCCTCTTACTACATATACCCCCCATTAGGCCATTACCCCCCACAATAGCGTCTCTGAATGCTTCCCACCTTCTCTTCTCTTCTCTTTTCATATGAAGCACTCTGCTACGGTACGCTCTTCTACATTACGTCTTTTTTCTTCGATTCTCACTTCATTTCTTTTTCTTTTTCCATATACTTCATTAAATTCTCTATTTTCATATCAACTTTAGTCCATTACTTTTTTTATTTTTTTCATTGCACCTTTCAAATGAAGAAGGTTCTTTAAACATGCACGCGATGGTCTCTATTTTCTTCTTGATATTTTACTATATTATGCTTCTTGTGAATTCTTCGATTTCTTTCGGTAATTATTCCTGTTCCGATCAGACTATGGAGTAGTTAGTTGTTCGTCTTATCAAGCGGTTGAGTATTTGTTTTGTTTTTCTTAGAAACAACAAATTAGAAAAAAAATAAAATTAGGTCAGGTAGTTTGAACTTGATTAATCGAATTTGATTGAAAACCGATATTATGTTAATACCTTTAAATAATTCTGAGTATTATTGATTATGTTAATATCTTTAAATAATTCTTTGTATCCAAAAAAAAATATCTTTAAATAATTCTAACTATTAGAATTTAACAATTATGGTTTATAGTTGAAACTTCTAATAAGTACTCTTAATAGTTGAAACTTGCAAAGGAACTTATTATGTGTGACTACATTTACACAATGCGATGGGTATTGCTTTATTTTTTAATGTGACAGCATAGAGTTAGGTTATCCATGGGATTCAATGATAAGCGCTACGATGCTGATGGAATAGATCCAGATTGTGGTGCAATTTTTATGTCAAATGAAGCTACGAAAAAAGAATGTTTCCAGAGGAGATTATTCGGCCTTCCATCATCTGACATCCAGTTTGTAGAGCAGGTTAAAGCCGGAATGATTTTGTTTTTATTTGAATATGAGGAGAGACAACTTTATGGTGTATTCAAGGCTACCTGTGATGGAGCTATGAATATTGTGCCTAATGCCTACGCTTCATCGAGGAAGCAATTCCCTGCTCAGGTAGCAACCCACTTGCCTCATTTCTCTGAATTTCAATTAGAGCAAAGCATTCTTTTGATTCTGAGTGCAAGACTGCAATTTGCTTACTTTTCGTTAATATGATGGACTCAGTTTTTCATTGATCTTCTGCTGTAGGTTAAGTTTGTTCGAATTTGGCGCTGCAAGCCACTAGAGGAATGCTTATTCCGTGACGCAATTATAGAAAATTACTTTTCTGCTAAAAAGTTTAACTTTGGGCTATCTGAAAACCAGGTCTGCTCCTGTACATGATTTGTTTTCAGTGAAATGAGAAAGATTTTCTTAAAAGATTTTACATCAATCTACAATCTATTTTTTGAACTGTTGTGTAGGTCTATAAACTTCTATATTTGTTCAGTACAAGAAAGCTAGAACTGGAGGTTCCTGGTAGAAGAATATTAACTAGAACAGAAGAGTTGGAATCAGAGTGGTACCCAGTTGGTGAAGTTGGAAGATCTGTTGATCGAGGAATGCACGTCGAAAGTGATCAAGATGAGCAAGGTGTTGGTGTTAACATTTCACCCATCATAATGCATAAATACCAAGGAGATTCTTTACAGTACAATGGAGACGCTGAATATATCAGATTAGATGCAAGTGATATTGTAGTAAATAAGCAAGGAAGAGCTCCTGAGCTCGTGCTGGGTACTTCAAGTGAATGTGTTAGTGACTATTTGGCATTAAAAGATGAAAGCGGGTTTACTGAACATGAGAAAGAGCATTATATGGATACCCATCTCAGGCCAAACATCATAGATGAATACTCCAAAAGCCTTTGTGATAAAATTAGAGTTCATGGTGATGGCAGGTTATCAATTAGTGATAGGTTAAAGAGTGAAGATCTGAGAAATACTGATCAGAGGATGGTATTTTTAGATGGTATTCCTGGTTTACATGATTCTAATGTCAATCCAACTGTCTTTTACTCCAAGCCTAATTTTGAGCATAATTCTTTGGTTCAAAATCAGCTTAGGCGAAATTTTGCTATGAATCACCAAATCCAGGCACAGATCTTAAACAATTCTTGTGCAACACAAGGTGATGTTAGTTCTAAGACCACCTTTCTGTATGATCAAGATGCACCTCGTTTAAATTTTAGTCAGTCATCAGCTGCTAGAATTAATAATGGTTCTGAATTAATAATAGAAAGTTCTTCTCCTTCAAACAACCGTGGAGGGAAAGGCTTGAGTAGTCAACCACGGCTCATGCATACTGAACTGAAAGACATGAACAGAATGCACGATGTTGGTGGTGGCTTTCTAAATTCTGTTTTCTACGGTAGCAATAGGTATTGCATGTCCTTGAATGCAGCTCAAAATTCTGACCGGTTGGAAGCAGAATCTGATGTATATGAGCCTTGCAATAGCATTCGTTTCTTGAAGTCTTCATCAGCTACTATCCCTCCTACAGATATTGGAAATAGTGGCAGGGTAGATGAGCCCGTTTCTTCCTTGTTCCATAATTATAAATCATGTTTAGGCAATAATGTCCATTCCATAGCATTGGGAGAAAATCTGAGTCAGGAGATGACACTGCAGAAGAACAATAGAACAGTTACTCCCATTGTTCCTCGTCCAAATGAGAGTCATTCCCAATTTCAGTATGGTGATTCATTAATTCTTGAACATGACATTGGATGCTATGGTGATTCTCAAAATAATAATTCTTGTTATCCAAAGAAAAAAAGTAGTGTGTTTTCTCGTTTATCTTTTACGCAGGATGTTAACAATCAAGAAAATGGAAACAATGCATGGAATGAGGAATATGATTTCCATACAGTTGATGCAGTGATGGAAATGGTTCATCAAAGTCGAAAGCAAGGGATGACAAAAAGAAAGCCAAAGCCATTAGGAATTCGTAAAAATGCTGAAAGTTTGAGGAAAAAAACTCAAAGCAGTAGCGTGAGGATGAAGGGTGATTGCTTTGAAAATACCTTGGAAGATTTAAATGTGGATTTGACAAATGCTATTGGAGGCAATACTAATGAAACAGCTGAAGAGATATGTTTTGTGGATTTCAAGCGCCGTAGCAAAGTAAGGAAACTTGATGAGACTGAGATCACAAGCTCCAATGAGTGTGAAAAGAGTGAAAATTTGGTACTTGTGCAACAAAAGAAAAGAAAGTTGATCCGCCCAAATTTCAGCAAGAGTACAACTTCCGATGATAAGGGCATTGGTCTTGGTGCTTTTCAAAATTTACAAGTACCATTGACACAAGGAAGTTTTAATCTTAAGGATGTTAGTGAAAGCTGCTGTGCTTTGGTTCAAACTGAGGATAACATTAAAACAGATGCTGAAGTACAAAACATTAATGTACAAACACATTCTGAAGATAAGAGTAATAGTCATGCTAAGGAATATGTCTGCAGCGAAGGAGGAGAGAAAGCAACAGATGATGCTCTTACTGCATTTAATGATGAATCAGAATGTCTGGAGAACTTGAATAACCAGAATGTTTTTTCTTCAGCCTCTTGCAAAGACAAGAATTGTTATATCAAGGAAGGTTTATGTATGATGGATAGTACTAAATCCGTATCTCTGGACAAGGAATCATTCCATTCAATTGGTGAAGAACATCATGTAGATGGGATCACATGCGCTGGCAGAGGTATTAACACCGAAGAAGAATTCCCGAAAGATTGTGGCTCCTTTTCTGTTGAAGTTAAAGATGGATCAGACAGTTTACAGAACTCCAGCAATGACGATGCTCCAATTGAAATTTCGTATGAAAAAAAGATGGCTTAAGCGTTCATCATTAGCTCACATGCCAATCTCGATGTGGCAATGGTAGAAAGTTCAGAAACACGTGAAGTAAGTTCTCAGAATTGTGATAGACCGAACTGTTATTTTGGGGAGGCAACAGAGTATAGTAGAAAAAGATATGCTTAGCTTGCGAACCGGTTGTACATCAAATGTTGGAAAGAACATTGTTTTGTGGGAGTTGATAATACTCTTGTACGACAAATGGTAGTAGTCTATCAAATTTGTTTTCAAGCTTACAAGCCTTAGATATATTAAAGGATAAAATTCAAACACATGCTAGTGGTTACTTACCCATCTAATTATTATTTTTTCTATCACTTACTTTTCATGTGAATTTTTATTGCATAAACTGTCTCTTTTATCCCCGGGAACAATCAAACTCCCTTGATTTTGATTATTATTATTATTATTATTGTTTTTGTTGTTGTTGTAGTTGTAGCGTGATCCATTCTTTTATGATTTTCATAGACTCCTCTTGAAATTTTCACTTGTTGGGTATTTTATCTGAAAGTTGATCATTTTGATTTTTCTTACCTAGACTATGTCTATACCAATGAAATATATTTGATATATGCATGAATATTGAATAGTTCTCAACCAGTTTTGTGGTAGTCCTAGAGATTAAGCAATGGGAGAGGAAAGGTAGTAGTTTTTCAGTGTCAAAGCAAAACCTGCTAGCACTTGCTCCTAAATTGCCAAATAGAAGGAGCCACCATATTCTGACATTTATTCTTCCGTATTGATACCTGCGCGTATGATTTTTATCTATGTGACGCTCTTTAACAAATTGAATACAAGGATTCTTTTCCTGGAGATACTGATTTCGTACTATTCATCACAAGTAAGCCTTTTCTGATGTCACCCGAAAGTTTCAATTGGAGCTTCTTAATTATTACAGGAATCCTGCATATATTCAGATCCATCTTCAAGAGTAGCTTGGTTACAATCCCGAACCTAAGGTAACAAGGGGAATAAATCCTCCCATGTTTTATTCCATACTTATGATTAGCTTGGTTACACTATACTTATGATTATTTCACTCGAAAATAAATTCTCCCATGTTTTAATTAACTTGGCCATGTCAGATGGGAAAATCTTAATCATACAAAAGAGAATAATGATGATGATTTTGTAACTATCTATTCCCATATTTTTTTTTTTCTCTTTCTTTATTGGGTTCGTTTTTTCTACAGTTAATGTAGATAACTTATCTACAGTGAGATCAAAATGACGTCGTTTTGAGGTGGAAATCATGTTATTTTTGTAATTATAATATATTTCAGGTTATAATAGTCTTTTTCATTATAATTTTTTAATTTTTCAACTCAAAACGACGTTATTTTGGGAGCGAATGTAGATAACTTATCTACATTCACTGTAGAAACTTTAAAGCGTTCTTTATTACCATGAATTCACTTTCGTATGATTATGAATCCCCAATATAATATGATCATATTAATTAACACACGAAACGAAGATGCACTCCCATTTAACTATTATTACGTGCCGTTACTTTTTTCCTTTTGAATAGAGATATCCAATTGGGGTTCATAAGTTTTCTTTTTCCTATTGAGTCAAGTTTTTTAAAATATCCCTGCTCTTTATAGTATACTTTGGGGCTTAGAGTTAAGTCGAGTGAAGTATTATAACTATTATTGGGGTAGACAATAGTAGAACAGTCATAGAGTGATATTTCGGGGGGACTTGAATGTAGGGTTCACCCTTTCCAATCTAATGGCTTAACATATATTCCTTGAAGCTATTCCCTCATAATGTCAAGATTTGAATGGTTACCTATGGTAATGAGAATGGCAAAAATGGTAGTTTGACAAAACTTGAACAGATTAGTTGAATAATGAATTGGTGGAGGAAAAAAAAAAACCCACTCCAATGATTTATTTATTATATGTTTATAATTTAAATCGATTTTGAATAATTTTTTTTTTTTTTGGAAATAATAAATTTTGAATATAGTTTGTTTTATTGATTTAGTTATTTTTTCCAATATTTTATCTTAATTTTGAAAGGTCACCCTACTTTATTTATCTTATATTTATAATTTCAATCAATTTTAAATAGATTTAAAAATCTGAATAATAACTTGCCTTCAATTAATTTATTCTCAAATAAATTTTAAATATACTAATAAATTTTTTATATTTAAATTTGAAATAAATTAATTACTTATGAATCATGGGATTTTCATTTTTTAAGCTCATGTATTTATGTTAATTGCAAGACTCAACTCGTGATGTTATTTTTTATTCATATATTGAGCACTATATATTCAATACATTACTTATATGATATATTTTAAGCTATTTATTATTATTATTATTATTATTATTATTATTATTATTTATCTTTCAAATCAGTTTTTCAAAAACCCATCTAATCCAATTGGAGCAACACCGTTTTTTCATCCCAAAAACTTCAACCAGAAATCTCTAATTATGGATGGTAAAGAAATATAAAATCATTAATATAACCTTTAAATTTTTGCATTGAATTAATTATTTAGGTATCAGAGCCTACATGATTAAACGATTATGCGTTCGATCATCACCGCCCTTCATTTTATTAAAAAATAATATTAATTTAAACTTTGGATTTAATTAATTCTTTACAAAAAGACAAAACCCCTTAAAACAAAAGTTATTGGTATTTTTTATTAAATCTTAATTGGATACCATTTACAATTCACTATTTAAAAGATCGGCGTAACAAACTTGCGGTCCAAAACAGTGAATTGTATGCAGGGTCTACTAGTGCCTTTGTTAATATACTTTCTGCAATGGCCAGCGGAGTCCACAAAACGGACAATAAGGAGTCATCAAAGTATACAACACTGTCAACACACCCTTTTCATAGCATTTGCATAATGCATAAAAGTCGAAACACACTATAATAATACACAGGTTTATATCTACGTTGAACTAGATTAACTAACACGGTCAGCATCGGCAACGTGGCATTGTTCTTGGTTTAGCTTTCTCTTTTGTTGGTTAATCTTAAAACAGAAAGTTGAGGTGAATTTCCCAAGGATAAAGAGGAGGAGGAAAATTAGTAGTTAATAATTTAGTATGCTGCAAATGTGTAGAAAACTCTTACCCTGACAGTGCATACCAATCAAATTGTTACAGACAAATGTGAAAACTTTCTAAAAGTTTCAAAAATAGTTACTCATTCATACTCCAATGCCATAAAACCTTGTGATAACGTACCATATTTTGGACAAAGGTGGTTGCTGTTTCACAACTCAAGCTGTTCATCTAACATGATGTTTATTCAAAATTTACAGCATTGATTGGTGGAAGAGCACTTTGGCACCAGAGTATACAGATTTAGCATCGTCTGCGCAAGAATAAACATAAAATAAAAATTCACACAATGCTCATAATTGAAAAGGTGATGGCATCATCATGGTTATGGAAAGCACCCAACAATCAAACGGCAAACAAACAAAACCTTACAAAATCTTAAATTCATAATTGAAAAGGATAAGCTGTTGATCTCAAACACTGATTCAAGTCCACATGCAGGCTTAGTTTTGCTATCAGAGATGCTGAACTCCTCTCAAAGTAACTTTCAAATATGCAACAAATTAAGCACCTAGACATGCATATGAATATGACTGTAAATAAAAACATAGCTAAAACCTTACCCGTAATAGCAGCTAAACTGAAAGCATAAGGGACATTAGCCTCAACCTCAACAGCAGCTTTAGCCGCTGCAATGCCAACAGACACACTTTGCATAATATCTAATCCTGCACAAATTGATGCGAGTGTTCCACCAACCAAGCAATCACCAGCCCCTGTAAGCCTCACAACTGATGCAGGAACTGTGGGAAAATGCACAACAAAGAGACGAGAGCTTCTATCAAGTTCTGAAAAACCAGAATAACAATTTGGTGGACACTTTTGCATAACAGTCCTATATAATTGTCCACCAAAACTACACCAATTCATTTTCTCTACAGGAACTTTAAAGCAGCTTGGCCCTCCTTTACTGCATAAAAACACTCCATTTGAGCCGAGGGTCACTAGGACCACTTTAATGCCTTTTTCTAGCAAAACCCATATTGCTGGTTTCAACATTTGAAACAAAGATACACTTGAAAGGTTATTTTTGTAATGACTTTCTATAAGTGGATGGAACTGATCACCACCAGATAAAGCATTAGCCATCGCAATAAGTTCATCTTCATTTGGAGAAGCAAAAGTTACCTAAACAAAGGATGCACACATGTCACAGAAGACAATTTTGATACAATGAATGAATTTTATAAGCATATATGGTATCCAATGGTGTTGATAAATTCAAACAAGTAAGATACGAACAATGTAATATATCTAAATTCTAAGGAATTTTCTAGTGATGCAAGCAGAAGTTTAAACTAACGCATAATGATGACATCATTAAGAAAATAATGAATATAAAAAATTCAAGACAACGCTAGGGAAGATGCTGAAGCCACAACTGTTTACAACAACTTCTGACTACTGCAATTCCCAATTTCTCACAAACAGCTTTGACCAAACCATGAAATAGATCTAAAAAGAATATCTTGTTTGTATAAAGCATAGCACTCACATACTTGACAATAGAACTGATTCTCCGGGATTTAGTCACTGAAACTGGCTCAAACCAGACAGGACATTCTGTGTCAGCTGCCACTGAGGAATGTAGATATTTATACAATGGAAGAAATAACACTCGTTGTGAGTTTATAATCCAGCAAACAGAGACGGAAAGAGATAATTAAATGAGTAACATGTGATGTACTTTTACAAGAAGCTTCCAGAGAAGGACAACTCAGATTTGCATCAACCAATACCACTGGAGCAGAAAGTAAAGTGCTCTTGAAGTGCAAGATCCAGTCAGGTGTCAGATATTTTTCCTGTAACAATACGACTTTGTAAGATTTTCTTTTTAGTTGCTTCTATCTTTTATAACAATTATCATTATGCAAATATGTAAGGTTCTGATGCACATCTTTTAGCTTGCTTAAGTTTGGAGATAACTGGATAGCTTATTACTTGAAAGGTCAACTTACAAGAGCTTCCACACTAGCAACACCAGCTGCTACCTCGCCATTAACATCAAATATATTGCATACAACTGGAGTCTCAATATCTTTATCCTTCAAAATACCTACCTCAAAATCAATAATGTACAACAAATCATTTGACATTGTTATAACAGATTTATGTGATGAACAGCCACAAAGATAAAAGAGTTTACCTTCTGTGGATAGGCCAGCAGATTTCCACTGTTCCAACAGCAGATTTCCTATGGAAAAAAATTAAGAGAACTGAGGCAGAATTTTGTAAGCTTCTTCCCTGGGTTTATTTGCCAAATGTAATTCTAATCACAATATCTTCTGATACATACACATCTTAGTAACTAAGAATCAACCATAGAAGCTTCTTAACTGATTGGCATGACAAGTATATCATTTAACATCCTTAAAAGGATATATTAGCTCAAAACATTACAAATTTGGGATACTTCATAATTTGTTATTATAGGCATTAGTGAAGATACCAATGAAGTATATGTTGGTTTCTTGATTATCATTTTACTTTCGTGCTCATGAGCATGCGATACAGAATGAAAACCATCTTCTTATTATTTAAGAGTATTAAATGTTTCAGTCAACTCAGCGGACATTGTTCTATGTCTTTTCCCCTTTGCATATGATCCTAAAAGGGTATGCATCTCCAGGTGGGCGGAGGCCAGCCTCCTACTCTCTTATGCAGCATTTATTAGCTTAGCTCAGTTAGGCTTTTGTGTACCTAACGAAATTATTACTCGTCTGTGCAGCCTAGTGTAATGCATAAAACCAAATTGCTGACCAGTGGGGACTCTCCCATCAATGAATGATGTAAGTTAACTAAGTGTAGAAATTCTAAAGTCAATTAGGGATCAAGTAATTAAAGGGAGTCTAAAAAGTCAGTCGGATGTCATTAAGTAAGCCACTTAAGGTTCCAGTCAAATCTAGAACATTACAGGAGTAGATTAGTAGGAGTTTTCATGTACTTCTTATCAGATTAATGAAGTATTATGAGCAAAAGCAAACCGCACGTATTTCATATCGAAGAAAACTACATTCATTTCTAGGATTGGATCTCTTAAGAATTTTCATATTTCTATCCAAGGACCATTTCCAATCCCATCCTACTCCTTTTCCATAGACTTACAACCCTTGGGCAGCATCATTATGAATTTCTAGCACAGTAGTGACTAAACTTATCAAATTGCACAACTTCTTTAGAAAATTATTTTACATCATTTTTCATTTAAAGAATAACAATACTAGTTTTGTGCTTTATTAGTCTCTAAGTAAGACGGAAAACATACATCCTGACTAAGATAAATGAATTCGAGAAATGTTTCCACAAAGATCAACTGACAAATTTCACTCTAGGCCACTTGGAAGTTGCCTTAAAGCAGTGCCTCTTAATTAACCATAATAAAAAGGGAAAAGATAAAAATCATCATGGCAATGGAAGAGAAAATGTTTAGTGATTATGAGAATTTACCAGCCATGTCAAACCCGAGAGCACTAATCATGTATGGCTTTGCTCCTAGCTTTGACATGCACTCAGCTACATTCCTTGCCACACCTCCTTGGACATAACAGACCTGACAAATCTTCAGTATAAGATAGGTGCAAACACTAGAAAGAGAAAAAGAACAAGAAGGATTTCACTTCAAGACAACGACTGCTTATGTTCTTCACATCATTAGCATCATCCTCATTTAGCATTGAGAACTTTTTATTGAAGAGATTTCAACTTTATAGTCACAGGTTACATCTTAGTAACTAAGAAGATGTAAACAACAATGACAGAATAATGTACATACAAATCCAGCGAGTTTCTTTTCTTTTCTTTTCTTTCTTTCTTTGTCAGAGAAAATATATAGAAAAATAACCTTGCCAGGGGTAGTAGTTCCCGAATTGACATGGATTGAAGGTGTAGCATGAATGTCCAACACCATACCCCCAATTATCACTGCTTCTGCATCCCCACACTCCATTTGTGTACCTCTTAGCACAACCTTACAACAAACAACTATCAAATTTGCACAAAATACAATAATATAGAAAAGGAGATATAAATAAATAAATAAATAATGAGAACAAAAAACAAATTTGGAAATATTAGTATAAAAAAAGCTCACAGGATATAAAAGAGTATTATTAGCTTCATGAGCCTGCATTTTTCCCCTAATGCTGCTGTTCTCCAATCCTGTGATGCGATGTGATGTGATTGTAATTTTCTCAAATCCAGAGCTGGCAAAGAATCAATCAAGTAGCAGATAACTAACTATGTAATGGGATATAAATCAGAGGAAAAAGAAGTGAAGGAAAATAAATAAATAAAAACGGTGTTTGTTCTTTTTTTTTTGGAATGCTCCTCGGGTTTTCGGGACTTCGCCCCGACTATGTCCAATCCGATCCAGGTAGGTTACCTAGCATTGACAGATGAGTCTCTCAGCAAGAATTTTCTGCATACACAAGATCTCGAACTCGAGTCGATGTTTAAACGAACACAAGTAGCTTACCACTTCACACGGTGGGTAAAAACGGTGTTTGTTCTGATACTAGATAAGTCGAGAGGGTTCACAGCTGAGAGATGATAGAGAGAGATGAGGGATATAACCTTAACCCGAGTCAACAGTGTCGTAGTGGACTCGGACTCGATAGTGGATTGGTTCTCAAATCAATCTGGGTGTCTATATAATTTGTATCATTTTATTTTTAGAAATTCATATTTTTATTTTTATTTTATTCATCATTTGTTTCTTTTTATCTGTTTTTTTTCTCATCTAAACATAATTTTATATTCTTTGAAATTACATATATTTTTTCCATAATAATATATACTTTTCTCTGGATGAGTAAAAAAACCGGTGTATGCTTATGTGGTTATGTATATCTTATCTCTTGCAATTCTCAAAATAATATTATTTTAGGGTTTAAAATTAAAAATAAAAGCATCTTTAATTTTTTTTTTCTTGCATTATAAATTTTTCTAAAATGTCTTTTATTTTAAATTTAATATTCAAATCGATATTGTTTCGGAGTTGTAAATAATAAAGTTATTTAAGATGACGGAAGAAACGTTAATTCATAAAATAAAATATATAAAATATGATATATTTGATTTCTTTTTTCTATCCTCCCATAGTTACATAATTAATTTTTTTTATTATACCAATCTTATAAATCTGTTTTTTAATATCCCCACTTCAACTCTTTAAATTGACTTGAGATTAATCCCGTATGGCTTAATTAATGTTAAAGCTATTTGCTCCGCCTACTAAAAAAAAAACTATTTGCTCCTCCCACACGTATATTTAGTTATTTACTTATGCACGATTTATAGGCAAGTAAACCACTCATTCGTACTTGATTGGATAATAATATTAGAAAAATGTTACATTTATAATTTGTTTTTATATAAAGTCTTACAAACTCAATTATATATTAGTGATAATAGACTTAATTAAAAGTATATTACCGATGATATATGATATAATTTATAAAAATTGATAAATATAACATATTCATCCAAATTATGCTAAATTTATCTATTTTTTAAAAGAAGGTGCAATGAGAAATAAAAAGAAATATAGAAAATTCTACAATCTATGTGTTAACATGATGACGTGACGCCCGCTTAAAGCAGCCAGCACAGTACTTTTACCTACTCACCAACCCTGCCGAGGGACCCACAGCCCTGCTTCACCCTTAAAATGCTACTACTATATAGTACTACTATTAAATATAGTAAATGGTTGTTTGTGATCTAATCTGAGTATAATAACAAAATAAAAAACAATGTTTTTTTAATTAAAAAAATTGTTTTTCTTTTTTAAACCAAGAAAGAAAGAAAAAAAAACAAGAACAAATAAATTTCACCAACCCTACCACATTGGTAAATAAAAAGGGTTACAGAGGAGAAAGTGTGCAAGTGTTGAACACAGAGAAAGAGAGAGAGATGGCTTGCAGGCAGTTGTGGGCTTCAAGAGCTGCATCGTACTTGAGAATCTCTGTCTTTCATAGAAGCTTTTCTAATGGTATTAATCTCCTTCTTCTTCTCTCTGTGATCTCCTTTTCATTTTCTTTTATTTTTTTTTCGATGATCACTTATGATTATGTTGTTTTCACGTCATGTCATGTTATGTTTATGGTGTGGATATCTTGATCCATGTCGTTGAATGTTTCATTTTAAATTTCGGGTCTCTTCTTCTTTTATGGATGGGATATTCACGTTTCTTCTTGTGTTTCCTGATGTATATGATGTACAACATATTGCTCACATATAGTGTGGGGTTCAGCCATGAATGACTGTCTCTATGTTTGGATTGATGCAAAAGGGATGGAAATGGAATGGAATGGAATGGCATTAGTTGTTATTGTTTCGATGGTTTAGAATTTGGTGGAAATGAATGAATCTATTATCTTATACCTCTATTCCCACCTCCCAGTTTGGGATATGTAAAGAAATAAACTCATTGTTTATTAATTTCCTTATTATTCTGTTCACTTCTCAAAATAATTGAAAATAAACATTCCTCCATTCCATCCTAAAGTGTCCAAACAATGGTATGATGATTTTATTTTATTTTATTGTATCTCATTTTATTCCATTCCACCCATTATTAAATATCCTGACATTTCTTGGTCATGGTCATTCTAATGGAAGAAAGGGAGCTCTCTAGGCGGTCGATCTTGGGAGGGAACCAGCAATAGAATCAGCAATGTCCTTTTTCCAAAATTGATCATGTCAGCTTTGACTGCATGCTGAATGTTGTGGACCGTACAGGCCCAATTAGGTACAAGAGTATGATAAGGGTAGGGACTGAAAAAAGGATTTTAGTCTTCTGAACATTAAATTTATACGTTAAAGTAGGATAAATTTTAAGAGAAAAATACAAAATTTTTGATATTTTCTTACGCAAAATCATGATATGACCACTATCCTCAGATGTTTTGGGGGAGAAATTCTTCTACTCTACACAATTTTGCAGATAAAGCTAATAAAAAATTGACGCATCAATAATTCTCATTAAAATAAACTATGCTATATATTTAAGCTTGATATTTGTGTGGTCATGAAATAAAAAATGACCACTATGCTATATATTCAGTCGAAGCAACAAGACTGAATATATGAAGTGTGAGTTTGCTCCGGCTAGAGATGAAGATCAAGACTTGCATCTGCTTGGACAAGAGGTACTCAAGAAAGATGTTTTCAGATATTTGGGATCTATCTTGCAAAAGGGTAGAGAGACTGATGAGAATGTGAATCATAGAATCAGAGCAGATTGGATGAAATGGTATAGTACATCAGGGTTTTTGTTCGACCACAAGATTCCCTTTAGGCTAAAAGGAAAATTCTATAGAATAGTAGTAAGACTTGCAATGTTATATGGAGCTGAATGTTGGCCAGCATATAGGCAACATGAGCATAAAATGGGAGTAGCAGAAATGAGGATATTAAGGTGGATGTGTGGTCATATAAAGATGGATAAGATAAAAAAATGAAGATATTTGAAGCAAAATGGGAGTTGTACCGGTGGTTGAAAGGATGAGAGAGCATAGATTGAGGTGGTTTGAGCACATGATGTGAAGATTCCTAGATGCTCCTATAAGAATAAAAGTGTGTTACCAAGAACTCAACACAAAGAGAGGAAGAGGTTGGCCGAAACTTACTTGGGGAAAGGTAGTAAATCAAGATTTAATGGAGTGGGGTATAGATTGGCTGACGGTATGTCTTAGAACGGATTGGAAGAAAGCTATTAGCATTGTGGAGGGTTAGATCCGTTTTTGCTTTTTATGTTCCAGATGGTCCTTTTTTGGTTCTTTTTTAGTCCTTTCCCCCTGTATGTCCCTCTATTTCTTTCTTTACATCTACTTTTTTTCCATTCTCCTTTCCTTTATCTCACTTTATTTCATCTTTCTTTGGCTTCTCTTATTAATTTATTTTTTTTCTTCTTTTCTTTATTTGTATCTCTCTATTTCTAATTTTTTCCTCTCTCTTATGTATCTTTATTTTCTCTTTTATTTTATTTTATTCTTCTTCTGAATTGATATGTTTTCATTTCTAATGGTATTTATAGTTCTTTTAATTTTAATTTTATCCTTTTTTTCCCTCAATTTTTTTGTATTTTTCATTTTGGTTCATCTTCCACCGACCTCAACTAGTTTGGGATAATGTTGATGTTGATGATGATTTGTGTAGGATAAGTCTATTGAAGAATTTGTCTGCTTAGGATGTGTGAGGACTTAGCTGAAGTTATAGGTTACAGTCATTATAATGACTGAAATGTAAGTTTTAGTTGATTCATTCCTGAGTGGAGAGCACAGTTAGCAGAAATAGAAATATAGGTAGTGCAGAATGAAGGCTCTGTTAGGTTTTGTTATTATGTACATACTGGGATTTGTTTTTTCTTCAATAACTTCATGTTCACTCGGCAGAAAAAAAGAAGCAAAAGAAGTTCCATGACGTGTGTTTTAGTTGTATTTAGAATTTGCTATCCGTGTTAGTGTTATTAGTATGTCAATCATCATGCCACACCCTATAGAGAGTGTGCTTTGACATAAAGTTTAAGGTTGTTGTTACCTTCTGAGTTGTAACTTAGTGGTCACAGGTTCTAATAGTTGAAACAGCTTCTCTGATCAGGGGATAAAGTGATAAAGATTGCAATGTTATTAACTTATCATCATGTCAACCATGTCCCCACCCCATATCTGGTTTCCTACATGTTTACCCCTTCTGAGTTCTATCTTGTGCTGCAATTCTACTTTATTTAGAAAAATGGGGGTGGTTGTCCTTCCTATTGTATGGTTGATTTATTCTACTTTTTTTTTTATTCTCTGTGATCTCTCTCTCTCACACACACAGCCAGTGCAAGTACCACCAGTCAAGTCAATAACAATGAAGCAAGAAGAAAAAAGTGCCAAAGGATTTGATTTTTTGGTTTGAAGTGATCTAGGAAGAAAGTCAATTATTGTTTTTTGTGACAAATCTACCTTCCCTTTGTCTTTTATACCTACAGTTTTGAAAGATCTGAAGTATGCTGATTCTCATGAGTGGGTGAAAGTTGATGGAAATTCTGCAACTGTTGGCATAACTGATCATGCCCAAGATCATTTGGGTGATGTTGTGTACGTTGAATTGCCAGAAGTGGGAGCGGAAGTAACACAAGGAGATGGTTTTGGTGCAGTTGAAAGTGTGAAGGCAACTAGTGATATTAACTCTCCTGTTTCAGGAAAAGTGGTTGAAATCAATGAAGAGCTTAGCAGCTCTCCTGCTTTGGTGAGTTTCAAAGTCTTGTTCTTTTAAGAATATTTACAAGCCAGGATCTGAAAAGCTGGATTTTCTGTGCATTTTTACCAATTTTTCCCTTTTTGTAATTTCTATGTACTCTCTGAATTTTGGATCACTATGCTTACGTAATGTTTAAGGATCACAATGTATTTATATCGACCCTTAGTGTTTTTGTGCTGTCCTACATTGTAGGTCAACTCAAGCCCTTATGAAGATGGATGGATAATTAAAGTTGAAATGAGTGACAGTGGGGAACTAAAGAACTTGATGAATTCAGAACAGTACTCCGAATTCTGTGAAGATGAAGATTCCAAGCATTGATGGTCTTGCCAAGATCTTTCAGCACTATACATGATGTTGATCATGTTAAAATGCGGAAGCTAAGAATTGTTTGATTTCTCCTTATTTCGAAATACGTGTTTTGACTACTTTATTTTTATTTCTCATGAGTTTCAAATTTATTGGCGTAATAATTTCACTCTTTGCCTTAGAAATATGAAATTTCATGTGGGAAATTTGACATGAAAAGTCATTAAGTTTTTTTCAAGTAGTGACAAATTGTTAGATGAATTTCATTATAGGTATCATGAATTTTATCGGTTGCATATGATAAGTTGTTCTCATTGCTAGTTTATAATGATTCTCTTCTTACCTCTCTCTCTCGAACCGGTTAGCTCCCAGAAGTTATGTGTGATGCACACCAGACTCTTAACATATTCCCAATGAAAGAAACTGTCTGTGTGACAATGATTTTATAACACCGTTGGCTTCACACACAACTTATCATATGCAACCGATAAAATGATTAAGAGACAGTTATTCCATAGTTGCCTACGGAAACCACGAGTTTTTTTTTTTTTTTTTTTTTTTTAAGTTTATTCGATTATATTAAATGATGAAGTCGTGTCTCTCGTATATGATTTGTAACATATCTATTCTATATTATTCTAAAGTAAAACCGTTTATTGGAATTATTCTAAAGTAAAACCGTTTATTGGAAACTTTGATGATGTGCCGCATTCTCCTTGAATCTGAGGTTTGTCTTCACACTTGAAGAAATTTAAAATGTTTCCTGTTATAGTAACTTTTTAAATTGTTTTTTAGGCTTATAATTTAAAAATAATAAATTGTAAACTGATTAAAAAATAGTTTTTGACACACATAATTAAATTTTCACTATCTCTTTATTGGAAGCTGCAAAAGTTGAAAGCTGCAACAATCTATTGAATCTTATTGGGAGCTGAAATTTTTTTAAAATTATTGAATCTTATTTGGAGTTGAAAAGTTTTTCAGAGCTGTGTCTTAATGAAAGTTGATAGGTTTTTTTGCAATATATTTTATTCTATTTCATTCCTCTATGCAATCCTGTTTGTATTGGTATAATGAATAAAGCTGCTTTGAAAGCTTGTGTTCAGAATTTATGATGGTTGGTGTTGTTTTTTTTATAATTTTGGCTCGGTTTCGAGATTTTTTGCTCAGGATTCGAGGGTATAATACTATAATGTCCTACATTATCAATGTTTGTTTATTTACTTTCTGCATCACTCAAAAGAAACCCTTCTTCATTCAGTGCCATTCTTTCGTCATTGGATTATCTTATCTTATCTTATATATTATAAAGGAATCCTAATCCGATTAAATTATCTGCGTAACTTTTTCAATTATTTTTTAAGCATGAAATTTTAAAAATACAATCCTAATCCGATTAAAAAATATATATTTTGACAAACACAATTAAATTTTCACTATCTCTTTATTGGAAGCTGCGAAAGTTGGATGCTGCAACAATTTATTGAACCTTTTTGGAAGCTGCGAAAGTTGGAAGCTGTAACAATTTATTGAACCTTATTGGAAGTTGAAAAGTTTCTTAGAGTTGTGTCATAGTAGAAGCTGAAAAGTTTTTTGAAATATTTGATGTGCAAGCCAAGAGAAGTCGTGTATAAAAGAAGATATATTGGATGAGAGTTGTTCTTTGGGAAATCGTCTGTGCTCACATTTTACATCTCCACTACTTTATTCATCTTCTCAACCTACTCTTCTACATTATCTATTATTATACTGTTTTTTTATCTACTCAAGTTATTTAGCCTGAACATGATGTTCTATCTTACAGCCTTGCAGTTGGATCCGAACAATGAGTCTGTTAAAGAAAATATACAGGTTTGTTCTGTTTTTCCTTTTCCTTCTGCTTCTCCTATTACTTTTTCTATGTGCTCATAATGCTGTTATTATCCATAGGTAGCTGAGCAAAAATTGATTGAAGAGCAACATCACGCAGATCATAATCCGGTATTATTATTATTTCTTTTAAATAAAGTTAGGTATTATCCATAATCCATATTTCTGTTTTCGGTACTGCATGTGATCATATTGTCTTCAATTTATCTTTTTTTCCTCCTCGATAATCGCTGTTTATAATACAATAGCTATAGTATTCTGATGACAATTTGCTCCAACATAATGACTTCTAACTAAACCTATTTTTTCTTTATTCTTTAAAGAATTCAAGATCATCTCAAGAATCCCAAAACCAATCTGCAGGAGGATCAAGAAGCCATGCAATGCCGCCTCCATTTAACTCAATGCCATTTAATCCCAATGATATTGCAAGCATGTTTATGAACATGGCCGCAAATGCTACAAATGCACATCAGGGGTCGCATTGGGGGTCGAATCCTCAGGAAAGGCAAGAAGATACCAATACTACTGGAGCTAATGAACCAGAGATAAGAATTGGGCGCAATCTTATATTACCAATTCTTTTCTTATTTTCTTATTTTTTTTCTCCCATGGACATAATTACTAATATCCTTTTTATATCCAAAAAAGTAATGATTTTTCTTTATGTATGTCTTTTATGGTGTATCCTTTATATATCCTTTTTTTTTTCTCCAGCAAAATTAAATAATATCCAAAACTTATTTCGGTAAAACTTTCAAAAAATTAATATACTTTAAATGTGAATAAACTATTGAAATTTCAAAAATATCTCATAATAAAGGAAAATAACTTTTTAAATTGTGCAAATAACCTAAAACTTTTGTTTGTTTATTATTTATGTTTCTTTATATTTTCATATTCTGAGTTTTACTTCTATAATATTTAAGTTAAAATTTGGAAATATTAATTTCATTGTTTAGTTTCAAATAAGAAAAAGTATAAAAAAATACATATTAAATAAAACACATGCAACCCAAAAATACGATCCAAGTAATGCATCATATGGGATATTTTTTGGAATTTCTTTTGAAAACTTGATTAAGTTGAAAATTTCAAGGAATTCTTACTCTAATTTTGATTGCGTGGAAAATTTCAAAGGTAACTGTAGACGTTTTCAAAACATAAAGTAATTATACTACGAGGAGTCTTTTAACAATTAATATACCTATTAGAATTATACATATTAAATAAAACACATGCAACACAAAAATACGATCCAAGTAATGCATCATATGGGATATTTTTTGGAATTTCTTTTGTAAACTTGATTAAGTTGAAAATTTCAAGGAATTCTTACTCTAATTTTGATTGCGTGGAAAATTTCAAAGGTAACTGTAGACGTTTTCAAAACATAAAGTAATTATACTACGAGGAGTCTTTTAACAATTAACATACCTATTAGAAATAAGTCATTTACTATGTGTAATTGTTGTAATTGCTTATGTTAATAATGAGTTGTCAATTCAATGAATAAAAATAGGAAATTGCTAATGCTAATATGAATGGAATCCTCAAAAAAATGGGAGTTGTCAATGCTCATAATGATAAAATGGAAAATGAAAAATAACTATACGAGATATAGAATTTTAAAAGAGATGAATGAAAAAATATCATACGAGATATAGAATTTTAAAGTAGAAGAATGAAAAATAATTTATTTAATTCAAAATTTAAAATACTTAAACTAGATAGTTAATGCGAAAAGAGTTCAACATTAAATAGTGGCAGACAGGTGCATTAATATCCTACTTCTTTTTAAAATTCGAAATTTGAAGTTGGTATAGGTAAGAAAAGAATTTAACATCTTTTAGTGGGAGACAACTGTATTAAGTTTTCACTGTTTTCTACATGGGAATTGTTAACCCTCATTTTGAAAAACATTGAATGTTTTTTTCCATATTTATTGAAAAATCAAAAAATCCAAAGAAAAGAGTTCAGCATTAATTAGTGGCAGACAGTTTCATTAATATTTCACCTTTTTTTTAAATTTCGAATTTTGAAGTTGATATAGGTGGGAAAAGAATTTAACATATTTAAGTGGAAGACAACTGTATTAAATTTTCTCTATTTTCTACATGAGAATTGTTAACCCTTATTTTAAAAATAATTAATTTTTTTTCCATATTTATTGAAAAACCAAAAGACCCAAAGAAAAGAGTTCAACATTAATTAGTTTTAGACAGGTTCATTAATATCCCACTTTTTTTTGAAATTTCGAAATTTGAAGTTGATATGGGTGGGAAAAGAATTTAACATCTTTCAGTGGAGACAACTGTATTAAATTTTCTCTATTTTCTACATGGAAATTGTTAACCCTCATTTTAAAAAATATTTAATGTTTTTTTCATATTTATCGAAAAATCAAAAGACCCAAAGAAAAGAGTTCAGCATTAATTACGCTTTTATACGAGATATAGAATTTAAAATTACATATGAATGAAAAACATTTTATTTTAATTCGAAATTTAAAATATTTAAACTAAATAGTTAGTACGAAAAGAGTTTACCATTAATTAGTGACAAACAAGTGTATTAATATCCTACTTCTTTTTTAAAATTTGAAATTTGAAGTTGATATAGGTGTGAAAAGGGTTTAACATCTTTTAGCAGGAGACAACTGTATTAAATTTCCATCTATTATTATATACTTAAAAGGAGAACCAAAAAAACTGATGTGTCAAGCTCTCATGCAGTTTAAGCTTTGTGTTCACACTTGCATGTCAATTTTTTAAAAAATTACATAATAAGTTTTTAATTAAATCAAAAATCAAAATTAAGAAATTAGTGGGAGACATCTAATTAATGACACACTATTATTTTTACATTGGAACTGTAAGGTTTTTAATTGTTGTATTGGAAGATGCAAGGTTCTTTACTAATGTTACTTGAAAATGGAAAACTCATCATTTGATATTTTCTTATAACCTTCAAACCATTCAGACGCTTAATCTTCTACCTTATGTGTGTTCTCAATTGCTTGCTAATTTTGAAAATAAATAAATAACTAAAAATTAAGTTTTAAGTAAATTAAATTTTGAACTTAAAGTGTTAGTGGCAGACATCAAATTAATGTCTCACTATCATTTCTATATTGGAATTGTAAGGTTTTTAATTATTCTGTTGGAAGGTGAAAGATGTATTATCAATGTTACTTGAAAATGAAAAACCCACTATCATTTCTATACACAACCTTCTATGCATGTTTCCCACTACTTTTAGTATGGAAAATTGTTAAATCTATTAATAATATTTGTTATTATGTCTATTGGGTGAGAAAATATTTAATATTTTAAAATTCAAACTTTTTAAATTTGAATTTTTAACTTGATAGGTGGAAAAATAATTCCGCATTAATGTTTCTGTAGTGGAAAAAATATATATAATAAAATTAAATTTAATATGTTAAATTATAGATTAAACATATTAATTATTTAAATTTTTTTATAAAATATGTATAGTTTATAAAAAGTAATTCAAATTTGAAATTTAAATGAAAAAAATTAGAAATGACATAAATCCTTGCAAAAAAATAATTATTTATTATTATTTTGTAAATCTAATTGTAATAAATGAAAGTTCATCTCTGGGATAAAATATAAAAACTTAGACGCAACTATAAGAGCCTTTTTTTGTATATAAATATAAAACCCTATTACATGCTAATAGTTAGAGGTGGCAAACTGGGTTCGGTCCGGAGGGCCGGCCCACCAACATATTTTTATAATTAAATTAAAATTTCATCCTTCTTCTTTTATAATTAAATTCCTAAATCTGATTTTGATTTTTGTAATTACAAATTTGTAAAAATTCAAATACAAACGACACAATTCCTTGCAAAAAATAATTATTTATTATTATTTACTAAATGTGATTGTAATAAATGAAGGTCCATCTCTGAGATAAATTATAAAAACCTAAATGTGACTATAAGAACCTTTTCTGTGGATAAATATAAAAATCCATTGCATGCTGATAGTTAGAGGTGGTAAATTGGGCTAGGCCGAAGGACCGGCCCACCAACACATTTTTAAATTAAATTAAAATTTCATCCTTCTTCTTTTATAATTAAATTCCTAAATCTGATTTTAAATTTTGTAAATACAAATTTGTAAGATTCAAAATACTAAGGACACAAATCCTTGCAAAAAAATAATTATTTACATAAAATGTTGATAGTTAAAGGTTGCAAACGGGGCTTGGCCCAGAGGGACTGCCCGGTCCGCCTGCCAACACGTTTTAATAATTAAATTAAAATTCCACTATTCTTCTTCTATAATTAAATTCCTAATTCATATTTCAGTTTTTGTAAATACAAATTTATAAAATTCCAAATACTAGTGACACAAATCCTTGCAAAAAAATAAATATTTATTATTTTTTTGTAATTCTAATTTTAATAAATGAAAGTTCATCTCTGAGATAAAATATAAAAACCTAGGCGCAACTATAAGAGCTTTTTTGTGTGGATAAATATAAAAACCTATTACATGCTTGCTAATAGTTAGAGGTGGCAAACTGAGCTCAGCCCGGAGGACCGGCCCACCAATACATTTTTATAATTAAATTAAAATTTCACTCCTTCTTCTTTTATAATTAAATTCCTAAATCTGATTTTGATTTTTGTAAATACATATTTGTAAAATTTCAAATACAAACGACACAAATCCTTGCAAAAAATAATTATTTATTATTATTTTTTAAATCTTATTGTAATAAATGAAAGTCCATCTGAGAGATAAAATATAAAAACCTAAATATGACTATAAGAACCTTTTTTTATGGATAAATATAAAAATCTATTGCATGATGATAGTTAGAGCCTACACCAACATATTTTTATAATTAAATTAAAATTTCATCCTTCTTTTTTTATAATTAAATTCCTAAATCTGAGTTTAATTTTTGTAAATACAAATTTGTAAAATTCAAAATACTAATGACACAAATCCTTGCAAAAAAATAAATATTTACATAAAATGCTGATAATTAAAAGTTGCAAACTAGGCTTGGCCCAAAGGCCCTGCCCGCCCCGCCTGCCAACACGTTTTAATAATTAAATTAAAATTTCACTATTCTTCTTTTATAATTAAATTTCTAATTCAGATTTTAATTTTTTAAATACTAACGACACAAATCCTTGCAAAAAAATAAGATAGCAATACAGATTTTTGTAAGTATAATGTTTGTAGTGCAATTAACCAACTATGACGGACCACAAATATTTTGATCTTTTTTCCCCGTGCATCGCACGGGTAATACACTAGTAATATATAAAACGGGGCCATCTTTTTGTGTATACAATTTTGTATATAGTATTCACCACTTTGTTAAAAATTAGCAACCCTGCTGCAAAACTGTAAATAAGACCCATAGCGTTGTATAAATTATATCATTTTGAAAAAGAGATTAACATTTCTCATTTATCTCCTAAATACATAAAACTATGTAGGATTTTTTTTTCTTCTTCTTTTTATATGGCCCTACATGTGTTTTACATATTTTTATATATATATATAAGAGATAAAATTATCTCCTATAATATAAGAAACTTCGAAAACTAAATTTAAACTTTGAAGTGACACTAAATTAATTAAAAAAAAAATCAAAATTTCAACCAGCAGTAAATTAACAAGTATATGCTAACCCCGTGACGACCAGCGAGCACAATTGGTAGTCACCAACTTTCGGGACCCACCACCCATCGTCCTTGTTGTTGTTGCTCTGCGCATGTTATCTATCATTAAATATTATCAAAGATTCGACCTTACCAGACGCAAATACCCCACTTAACATCTTCTGTTTTTTATATAAATAATGGATGCATTTAGGTACTGTTTACGAAAAAGGAGGTATTTATAAGTTTTTGTAAAAAAAAAAGTATAGATTTTTATGTTAAATATTAAAAATTGAAAATGAATCAAGATATACTTAATTTAACGGCTAACATGATTAATAAATTAAAACTATGTGTATAGGATCATTAACTAAGTGCCTCTTTGAATCTTCTTTTTTTTAAATTAAGTTAGGCCAAACAGATTTTGAGAAAAAAAATTTATAATGAATTTTTTTTTATAATAAAGAAAAAGGTTAAAAGCTCTTAGGAGAAGCTTTTTTTTTAGCTCTTATCTATTTTTCTTAAATTGTTTATTTTTTTAAAAAAGAATGAAGAGCTATAGAAATAGAGAAAAATAATTTTCTTGAAATATGTGCTTTTAAGCTAAATTTTTTATATAATTATCAAACAATTTTTAACTTTTTTTAAGTTCTTTTTTTTTTTAGCTTTAACAAATAATGTCTAACTTAAAAAAAATGATCCAAATAGACTCTAAGAATGGGGTAAGAATAATTGATTTACTTAATTTATAATTTAATAAGAATAATATAAGCTTTAAATTGATATTATTTTTGAAGGAAAAAAAAAAAAAAGACTTTCACCAACCCCCCAAGTATAAAATCACTACTCAGAAAAAACCAGAGAGAGAGAGAGATGGCTTGCAGGCAGTTGTGGGCTTCAAGAGCTGCATCGTACTTGAGAATCTCTGTCTTTCACAGAAGCTTTTCTAATGGTATTAATCTCCTTCTTCTTCTCTCTCTCTATGATCTCCTTTTCATTTTTTTATTTGTTTGCACTGTTCAATTACGATCGTGTTGTTAGCATGTCATGTTATCTCATGTCATGTGTGTGGTTTGGATCTTGATCCATGTCCTTGAATGTTTCATTTTAAATTTAACGTGTTTTTTCCCCCATTCTCTTCTGGATGTGAAATACACGTATTTTCTTGTGTTTTTTGAGATGCATAAGATACAACATATAGTGGGTGTTCAGCCATGAATGGTGATCATCTTTTTGTGTTGACCATGTTGAGAAACTGTTCATTCCACCTTTACTTTTATATTATCTATATAAGGAAATGTGTTTCTTATACAATTTGTCTAATGTAACACAGTGATAATCACTTTTTTTTTCCTCTCTGTTTCAAAGTGGGTCCTACTGTGGATTCATGACACAAATTATCTCATGCAACATGAGATAAATTTATTTCATACAATATTATGAAAAAAATCAAACCCATCTATATATCTTAAGGAAAAAACTAGTCTTATGCCATAGGAGATAGGTTTATTTTCCCACAGAGACATCGATCCTTGAGCTTTTTTATTTTTTATTTTTTTATTTTATAACTATGCGGGTCCCACCACATGATTGTGAGAGTGGTAGGAGATACTTCTCTCCTATTGATGGAGATTAATAAAGCCCATATCTTAATGGGAGGGAGCGTTATAGGCTGTAGTGGAAAAGGGAAAGTGCACCATCCTGCCACCAGCAATACCATTAACAATGTCCTGTCTTCAAATTTCTATGATTTGACCTTTATTAACAATGGTGTATTATATTATATTCTGCGACCTACTTAATGGGCTGTGTTCTGAATCTAGTGGGCCTTACTGGCCCAATCAGTTTATCAACCTAGGAGAATGACAAGGGTGGTGCTTCTAATGGATAGTGACAGAAGGAAGACATCATTTTGGTTTTTTGAATACTAAATATGTTGAGGGAACTGGGATTTATTCCAAAATTAAAATGGAAAATGTTGCATCTTTGTATGCATTTTTAGAGAGTTTGGTACTTTAGTGTGGACAAGGTTTTTTTTTTTAAGTAGTTTGTTATGATTCTAAAGTGAGCAAGTGAGAGTGTATTCATCATTCATTAAATTTAAAGGGCATATAATAATCTTAACCCACTAAAATTCAAGAGTTGATACAGTTTTACTTAATCACTTTAAAGATAATTTCACTTTATAAGAGATTTTTCCTGCTCACTGTAAGTTTGAATCTTGGTTTGTACCTATGCTGTTTGTTACTTTTTCAATATTGAAGCTTTAATATCACTTCAGCGAAAAGGGCTTTTTTTCATTTTTTAGTGCTTATTTGGAAATATGGTGGGGAGTTACTTTTGGGCCTCAAACTTATTTTTGCTTTTAAAAGTAAATTTGCCATCAAATTTAACTTGTTAGCATTTTGAGGACAAAGTAATAAACTGTTAACTTTTTTTTGGGGGGTAAAATGCATTTTTGACATACTTTTATCATTTTCTTCTCCTTGAGTTATATATATTAATTTTACCTTACTTTATCCAAACTATACTTATTAATCCAAATTACTTTTGTGTGAACATTTCTAAAGACACATCTCTTTATTTCAAATTCAAAGTTAATTCTTCCTAAGTACATTGTACTCTAAAGTAATTCTCCTACTTGAAACCAAATAAGCCCTTAATATTCCAGATCTGATGGGGATCTTCAAGTGGCTTAAGTTTTGTTCTTTCCTGAACTAATATCAGGTACATTATATTGGAGCTTGATATGTAAAAACTGTAAAATCAGAACTCTTGGATCAGCATTATCATTGTTTGCTTGTAAACATTTTGGAAAAAGAAGTAACCAAAAGCTATAATTTGTAGGATGGAAATTATCTTAGCATAAGCATGCCTGATTGGTAATAACTCTTCTTATTTAGCTTTAGATTAAAATGATATCTTATGCTTATGGGATTTGGTTATTTTCTGATTTTTTCCATATTCATATCTCCAATTACATGCTAAATGTGAAATTTCCGTTTAAACATTTAGGATATAGAAATGATTGGTTGTTTTGTAGTTATTGCAACTATCATTTCGCAAGTTCATATACATAATGACTTCAGAATATGAAAAAGAACACTTTGCTACGAGAGATTTAGTTCTCTGGCTTTCAGTTTTCCTTTCATCGAGTTAGAGATTATTTTTGGCATGATCATTGATTTTGGCTTTTAGTGTTTACCAATCAAATTGTCCTAGTGGGGCTATATTTTGAGCATATGAAATAAACGTCCAAGCAAGATAAATGCAAGGGGCTATTATTCTTCTTATTATACTGTTGATATATTCTAATATTATTTCATAGCTCTGTGATCTCTCTCTTTGTCTCTGCCAGTGCAAGGACCAGTGAGGTTCTTCTTCCAACAACTTGGTTGATCAAATTCCTATTTACTCAAAAGAGAGCCCCTCTTTGTTAATGATGCAAGAAGCAAAAATGCCACTTGATCTGTTTTACTTGTTGGGTGATTTAGGAATAAAGTTAATTATTGGTTTTTGTGACAAATCTACCTTCCGTTTGTCTTTTATACCTACAGTTTTGAAAGATCTGAAGTATGCTGATTCTCATGAGTGGGTGAAAGTTGATGGAAATTCTGCAACTGTTGGCATAACTGATCATGCCCAAGATCATTTGGGTGATGTTGTGTACGTTGAATTGCCAGAAGTGGGAGTGGCATTAACACAAGGAGATAGTTTTGGTGCAGTTGAAAGTGTGAAGGCAACTAGTGATATTTATTCTCCTGTTTCAGGAAAAGTGGTTGAAATCAATGAAGAGCTTAGCAGCTCTCCTGCTTTGGTGAGTTTTATTGCCTACTTGTGAAAAGTTTTTACATCAAAGGCAGGATCTGTAAGCTGAGTTCATGTACATTATAACTATTTTTTCTCCTTTCTGTAATTTCTTTCTACACTCTAAATTTTGGATTACTAGGCTTATGTAATGCTGAAGGATGGCAATGATTTTTTTTTTTTTTTTTTTTTTATCAACACCAAGTGTTTTTATGTTGTACTACGTTTCTTCATATAGGTCAACTCAAGTCCTTTTGAAGATGGATGGATAATTAAAGTTGAAATGAGTGACAGTGGGGAACTAAACAAATTGATGGATTCAGAAAAGTACTCCAAATTCTGTGAAGAAGAAGATTCCAAGCATTGATGGACTTGCCAAGATCTTTCAGCACTCTCCATGGTGTAGATTATGTTTAGTTTGGGGAAGCTAAGAATCGCTTGTTTTCTTTTCTCCTTTTGTCTATGTACTATTGTGTCTTGACTGGTCTCTTTATATTTTTCATGAGCTTCTGATTCAGTGGGATGGTGGTTTTCACTCTTTGCAATGGAAATATGAAATTAATAACGTGGGGAATTTGATAATAAAAAGCCGTTAGTTTTATTATTATTATTATTTGTAGTACCAATTTTGTTAGATGACATTTATTCTAGTTTGAGACTCTTGTTTCCAACTAAGATGGAACAGTAGCTATCATGAATTTAAGATTGAATAAGATGGCAAGTTTCCATGTTCTTTACACGATAGACTCGTTTGCACATAAAAGAAAATTATTCTTAATGCTAATTTATGGAATATTTTCCCTCTAATCTCCCTTCTTTTGGAGCTGATAATCTTTTGCAATACTAGTTGTTCAATGAACTACGGATCCTAACATTTTATGTGAAGAAATTTCTTCTTTGATGAGGTAGGTGTCTTGTTTCTTAAAAACGGATAAAAATTTCAGAAGGAATTCAGTGGAAAAAAATCTTCTGTCTCAATTTTTAAAGAATATAAACTAAATCTGAAAAAAATTGATTTTCATATGACGCTAAACAATTAAGTTTAATTTATGTTTTGTTCCCATCATTCTTAAGTCTGTCCCACGTTTCCTTCTTCACATCAGTCCTCAGTCAATTTCTAGGCCGTCTCAGTCTTTCGTCTTTTACTCCTCAAATCCACCTAATCTGCACCAAATTCACTCATTTCAGGATATTCTACCCATATGGTGTCCATTAGCAACTAAAATGGTTAAGCAAAATACTAGAAAAAAATTATACCACCAACTTACCATATAACATTCGATCGTTACCATAAGCCATTATGGATTTATGGTGGTACCCCAGAACGTATAATTTGCTGAAAGAGAACATTTTTATCTCTAGAACTGAAGGATCTCTGTTGTTAAATAAATTAAAACAAGACCAAGCGCTCCATAGGATCAACAGAAAATTAAAATTTCTAGATCAGTTATGTTGTAACACCGGTAGATTAGCTTTTTTCCATAAAAAAATCTCCAGCACGCCCATATATGTATTTCAGCCTAAGACTCCAATGCTTCTGTTTCCCCACAAGCATTTGACCATGCTTCTTGTAAAAGGTGACACTAAAATCGTAAGTGCATTATTAAAAGGCCAAACAACAATAAATGGTCAAAATACTTTGTATTAATGCATTTGTCAGACATTCACCGGATAAAACCACTACAAACAATATCTGGAGTCTGGACAATGCCTAAACCTAAAGCAATGGCACATATCACTTCCCAGACCCTTGTGAGGAAACACATGAATAGTAATTATTTGGACTGCTGTAAACCAAAATGATATTATTATTATTATTATTATTATTACTCGGAATGCATATGCTCATTAAATGGTCATAACACTTTTATAGTTGCGTCCATAGCAAGGTACTCAAATTACATCCGACAAAAAGGTAAAATATACAGCACATTAACAGATTCCAGTGCGAGTTTGTCTTGGTCATACTTTCGAAAGTGAAGTAAAGCAAATAGATCTTAGCACTTCACATTCCATTAAGAGTGACAACAACTCTTCGCGACGTAGGATCATCCCGATGCTCACAAAGCCATATACCCTTAAACATAAAAGAAGTATATTAATAATATTGAAGTATATTAATAATATTGATGTTATATTAATCTAATCTGAGGTGTTTTTTCAAAATATGGCATATTCTTGTAGTACATGTAGTGCGAAATGCAAAGAGTAACTAAACAGTTCTTCATGTTAACCAACACTTTACCACACATCCTATCATAAAATATTGTAATATGTACTCCAAGAAATCAAAATCAATGATAGATATTAAATGCTGCCGTGTTAAATTTGAGTTTTTCTATTATTAAGGATTAATTTAAAAAAAAAAAAAAGTGCACAAGAACTGAAATTTATACTTGGTTTCCTCAAAATCTTTAGAGCACAGACTTTCAAATGAAATTGAAATAAACAGTTGCTATTACTTATAATGTTGACAAGCAACCCCAAAGAATATTTGTTTTTCATCTGTTCTTACAAGTAATCATGAATTTCATGTTTGCTAGTTGCTCACAGTCGTAATCCGAAAATTTTACCTTCTGATAAATATTGTTTACCCTTTTCAAGTTCATGTATAATGTAGGAAATATACTCTGCCAAGTCAAAAAGAATGAAACGCAATATAGTGATTGAGAAACTTCATGTAGATAGCGTGTAGGAACTACCAATCTTGAAGTGAATTGTGGTGAGAATTGAGATTTCAAATTTGTCGGTAAATAATAGTTTTTTCCTAATTACCATTATAATTCAGCTATTAAACAGTGTATAGTGTATCAATCATTATAATATATATATATCAATCACTCTTGGTGTGGCATCAATAGTCAATTACAGGAGGCAACAACTTTTGAAACTCCTTGAATGTGCATGTGCATAAGATACACATGGGAAGCCATAGACTTTCATTCAGAATCATGAATTGTATAAGAATTTGGTCAGCAATAGGATAATAATTCATAGGTTCATAAAATTTCCAAAAGTTCTGTGAAAAATAATTGGTTATCCAAGTGCACTTTAACCCCACACTTTTTAAGGAATTCAATGAAAAAGGGAAAAAAAATGTAAATATTGACCAAGATTTCGGATAAATCATTACAAAAAAGAATTTTATTACCTGCCATGTTCCCATGTTAAGCTTTCCATTTGTGATTGGTATCCTACAAGTACAACATGTCAGTAAATGACAACATAATCATAACTTTTTAGGATAATGAATCAAACTGAAACATGAAATATTTCTTACGTGAGTGCACAACCAAACATCGATGATTTAATATGAGCCGGCATGTCATCTGGGCCTGCAAAAGTTCAAATCCAAAGAAGATTGTCAAGTTACAAATGGAAAATACAACACATTAGGAACCCAAAATAAAAAACATAAATTATATCTGGAGAACTAACGGCAACATTATGCTTAATAACTGACTTATAATGTTACAATAGATGCAAGTAGGCAAATATCATAGCACATAAACTTCCATTACAATGTCTGCAGACATCCTGCGGCTAAAAGAAACATGTTCAGAGGACAGGAATGGACCATAAACTTCTTCTAATTACAGAGGTTTTCGGCCACCATATATACTGGAAAAAAAAGTCCCAAGAGAGTGGCTTTGTGGTGAATATATAAAATACAATAAAAGAAAAAAAGGGGAGATCAAATAATGAATTGAATACTGAGACCAAGACAAATAACCAGAAAAAAAAAATGACATTATTGAAGCTAGATGTCACACCCAATGTTAATAAAAGGCTGTTCAGACAAAAGTCCAACAGTAACATATTTCCCTATTATTTGAAAACTAAGAAAAATGAGAATACAGAATAAATATCAATTTCGTCCCTAAATGTTGCGGTTGTTCTCAAAAGTTTCCCGCTATACAAATTGGTTGCGAAGTTGTCTAACAGTAGCTTTAAGTGACCAAATTGTATATTTACTCAAAAAAAAAAAAAAAAAAAAGAGAATATAAAAGAAGCACTAACCCTCTAGTGTGTGCTTCCAAGGCGCAGATGATCCCTACAGGACACAAAGATGATGGAAATTCAGTAATTAGAGAACAATCATGAATATATATTAATATTTTGGTAACAGTATTTGTAAGAAAGAAACCTCGGGAACTATCCTATTAAGGAAGGTTTCAGTATCGTCGCGGACATCAGAGTCGTAATTCTCGTTGATGGTAAGAGAAGCACTCGTGTGTTGCACTGCAATTTCCCATCACAAGTTCCAATTTCAGTGAAGTGAAGTCCAAATTGAAAACAAATCATAACTGCATATATATATGAATGAATACTCACAGAAGAGATGAGCTAGGCCGCATCTGAATCCAGAGAGGTCTTGCTCAATGTCTTTCACTATCTGATTTGGAACCAACCGCACAAATAAATAGTTAGGGTTTTACAAAAAATTTTAAAAAAAAAAAGAAGGAATATTACCTTGGAAGTAACGAGATGACAGCCACGCTTAAGAGGAGGCAAAGTGATGGTCTTCTGGGCCCACTTAGGAACGGTGGTTTCCGCCATGGACTGCTTCTTCACGGTTGTGTGCTGCGCCTTTACGCGAACTGCAACTGGAACCTTGGTTACACACGCCGATGAAGCTTGCATGCTTCGCACCTACAACGCAAAAATAGGAGGAAAAAATAAATTTGAGGAAATTGCCATATTACTTATTTATTCGTTTTAAAATAACTGTAATCAAACTGATAATGATGTTTTAAATTTTAAGTGATCATTTTATGTTTTTCAAAAATTGAATAATCAACTTTTATATTATTTTGAGACTAAATTAAAAATTTACTCGTAAACAAAAATAAATAAATCAAACGAGTAGGTTACGCGAGTCTAGAGATCCACATGTTATCTCGTCTGGTCCTCATTCAATTTTGAGTGTGTGAATGTTGTTAGCCCAAAAAGAGTTTATACTTTCGATATATTTTGCTTATGTTTCGATTTTTGGATATATTCATTATAGGAGACGGCTCTAATATAGGAAAACAAGCTCTTACACCGTAAAATCTAGAGTAAACACCTTTTTTTTAGTTTCTGTCAATATCTACGAAGTCCTTTTTAGTTCATGGCAATAAAAAAGGATCAAATTGGTTTCTGAATTTACAAAAAAATAGTCATGTTAGTCCTTATGTCAACTCCCAAATATGTAGAGCGGCCCTTTTCTTGTATTTTCAGGGACCAATTTGGTCCTTTTTTATTGCCAGGGACTGAAAAGGACTTCGTAAATATTGCCAGTGACTGAAAAGGGTATTTACTCTAATATCTATTGTCGCGTCAGTGCGTCACTTTAACATGTAATGTATCGAAAAGAGAAAAAAAAATGCAATTTTGTTATAAAAAAAAATTGCAATTTTTATACTTTAAATTATATCTTATTGATAAAATATAATGTGATGCACTGAATTTTAGTATATTCGATGCGTTATAAATGCTCTCCTCTTACACACAGGATGAGAATGACATGTGGCATGAAATTTTATAAGTTCGTAACTTTCAAAATTTTGGTTTAAGTATCTAAATTAGTATTTTTTTTTTATTCTACATAATTTTCTAGATCTACTTATTGAAAAATTCAAGTAATTGTGTAATCCCATGACTTATTAAAGAAATTACATAAATTATCCATAATTCACAAATCCTATATATAATGTAGAGATCCTAATAGTGAACAAAATTTTGGGATACAAATACCTACTTTCTGACAAGTTGAATAACTTTTATATAATCTCTCTTGTCTATTTTATTGTTAAATAGTAAAATATAAGAATATGAATTAAATAACATCAATAAAATGTGCTAAAAGGGCACAAAGAAGCATTTTATGGAAAAAAATTTGACCAAATCCCCTTTGGTATCAAATTTTTTTTCAGCACGTAGATATCAAAAGTTATATGAAATAAAAAAAAAAATTAATTCGGAAAAATTTATGATCTTTCAAAATTTTGAGATAAATTTTTTGAAATTTTATGTCATGTGTCATCATTCGCTCTCTGGTGAGTCATGCCCAAATTTGAGCACAACTGCACCCTTATCTTTTGGGCCCAATTTTAGATACATTCGATTGCTATATATTCAAAAATAGGTTTTAAATTGTTACAATTTCACAATTTTGTATTTAGATTATAATATTTAAAAAAAAAATTCCTGTTATTGTGGCCTAAAGATTCATTTTCTAACAATTATTGATTTTATCAAATATAATTTCTAACAATTTATATTTCTCGGATTAAAAATTGAGAAGCAAAATGTTCTTCTGAAACATTTTTATGCACGCAGCACACCCTTAATTGCTACAAAATCTCATCTCTTGAACTACCTTATATTTTTATGCAACAAAACTCTACAGTACACCGTGCTGGTGGATCCGGGAGCAAGTGGACGTCACAATCCCCATGATCTTATACATGTGATGTCATGTGATCCTAATCAATTGGCAAATATGTTTTCCTCTCTGTAAATGTGTGAGACAACAATATGAACCAAAGTTTAACTGAGAGCCAGCGAACTCAGTTGATAAGAGGAGCAATAGAGTGCTACTTTTAGTAACACATGGTTAATAAAACCACCAATAATAGGAGAACCACTTTCTATCAACACTTTTATGTAACCAGAGTTTAGAAACCTATAGCTCCGCCATTAAAGAATTTCTATATATGGCACTCTTGATAGCGAAGTGTGTTTCAAGGATTGGGTTTTGGATTTGATTATTGGCAAAGCTTTTTGGGACTAGAGGCGACTCCGAAAGTAAGATGATTGAAGGGAGTTGAATGGTGATATCTCTTGGTTATTAAAAAAAGAAAGAAATCTATAACCTTGGTTTTTCCGGAACCCGTAATCAACCTTCCTATAGCATCTCTTATGACTCCTTCAAAACTTGAAGAGTAGTTTTATTTCTTACATACTCCTTGAAAACGGTGACACTTTCTTTTTTTAAACGGCGGACTCCATCACATGTGTGTCTATGACATAAAAAAAGATTTCTCATGCAACATAAGATTAAATGAAACCATATCTCAATGGGAGGGAGCGTTCTAGGCTGTGGTGGAAAAGGGAAAGTGCACCATCCTGCCACCAGCAATACCAGTCCATTAACAATGTCCTGTCTTCAAATTTCTCTGATTTGACCTTTATTAACAATGGTGTATTATATTATATTCTGCGACCTACTTAATGGGCTGTGTTCTGAATCTAGTGGGCCTTACTGGCCCAATCAGTTTATCAACCTAGGAGAATGACAAGGGTGGTGCTTCTAATGGATAGTGACAGAAGGAAGACATCATTTTGGTTTTTTGAATACTAAATATGTTGAGGGAACTGGGATTTATTCCAAAATTAAACTGGAAAATGCTTCATCTTTGTATGCATTTTTAGAGAGTTTGGTACTTTGGTGTGGACTAGGTTTTTTTTTAAAGTGAGTTTGTTTCTAAAGTGAGCAAGTGAGAGTGTATTCACCATTCATTAAATCTAAAGTGCATATAATCTTAACCCACTAAAATTCAAAAGTTGATACAGTTTTACTTAATCACTTTAAAGATAATTTCACTTTAAAGATAATTTCACTTTATAAGAGATTTTTCCTGCTCACTGTAAGTTTGAATCTTGGTTTGTACCTACGCTGTTTGTTACATTTTCAATATTGAAGCTTTAATATCACTTCAGCGAAAAGGGCTTTTTTTTTTCATTTTTTAGTGCTTATTTGTAAATATGGTGGGTAGTTACTTTTGGGCCTCAAACTTATTTTTGCTTTTAAAAGTAAATTTGCCATCAAATTTAACTTGTTAGCATTTTGAGGACAAAGTAATAAACTGTTAACTTTTTTTGGGGGGGTAAAATGCATTTTTGACATACTTTTATCATTTTCTTCTCCTTGAGTTATATATATTAATTTTACCTAACTTTATCCAACCTATACTTATTAATCCAAATTACTTTTGTGTGAACATTTCTAAAGACACATCTCTTTGTTTCAAATTCAAAGTTAATTCTTCCGAAGTACATTGTACTCTAAAGTAATTCTCCTACTTGAAACCAAACAAGCCCTTAAGGGAAGCTTGGAAGTAACGAGATGACAGCCACGCTTAAGAGGAGGCAAAGTGATGGTCTTCTGGGCCCACTTAGGAACGGTGGTTTCCGCCATGGACTGCTTCTTCACGGTTGTGTGCTGCGCCTTTACGCGAACTGCAACTGGAACCTTGGTTACACACGCCGATGAAGCTTGCATGCTTCGCACCTACAACGCAAAAATAGGAGGAAAAAATAAATTTGAGGAAATTGCCATATTACTTATTTATTCGTTTTAAAATAACTGTAATCAAACTGATAATGATGTTTTAAAAATGGGGAAAGTGTTTTTAAATGACACAATTTATATCCTTTCACCCTCACAAAGAGGTGAGATTTACATTTTATTTTATTTTTTTGTCAATTCTCTCTCTTTCTTTATTTATCTCTTTTTTTAGTTACCCAGCCCTAATTATCTCTTTGAGACGAGTTGGCTCCCTCCGGTATCCTCACGAGCTTCGACTCTTTGAGCCGACTATTGGACTAATCCGGAGTGCGGAGGAACAGTGATGGCTAAAGGTTCAACCCCTCCCCAAGAATGCATTCAGTCTTTATCTATCTCTTTCTCTCTCTTAAGATGACACAATTTTACATTCTTTAAAATGAGACACACTTTTCCTTTAAAAATTTCTGTAATAATTTCATGTTTTTCAAAAATTGAATATTCAACTCTATATTATTTTGAGACTAAATTAAAAATTTACTCGTAAACAAAAATAAATAAATCAAACGAGCAGGTTAAGCGAGTCTAGAGATCCACATGTTATCTCGTCTGGTCCTCGTTCAATTTTGAGTGTGTGAATGTTGTTAGCCCAAAAAGAGTTTATACTTTCGATATATTTTGCTTATGTTTCGATTTTTGTGTATACTCATTATAGGAGACTGCTCTAATATAGGAAAACAAGCTCTTACACCGAAAAATCTATTGTACTACGGGCGTTGATATATCGCGTCAGTGGAACTGCGTCACTTTAACATGTACTGTTTCGAAAAGAGAAAAATAAATGCAATTTTTATACTTTAAATTATATCTTATTGATAAAATATAGTGTGATGCACTGAATTTCAGTATATCCGATGCATTATAAATGCTCTCCTCTTACACACAGAAGTATGTAACTTTCAAAATTTTGATTTGAGTATCCAAATTAGTGTTTTTTTTATTCTACATAACTTTCTAGATCTACGTATTGGAAAATTCACGTAATTGTGTAATCCCATAACTTATTAAAGAAATTACATAAACTATCCATAATTCACAAATCTTATATATAATGTAGAGATCCTAATTAGGGGTGAAACTGGGCCGGACCGGCCTACAGAGGCCTATGGCTTGGCCTACGCCAGGCCAGACCTGACCTAGTATATTTCGTAAAACAGGTCGGACTTGGGCTTTGAAAAAGCTTGTTTAATAAAAAGGTCGTAGGCCCACTTTCACAAGGCCTGGCCTATAAGCCTACAAGGCGGCCTATAGGGTTGGCAAAACGGGCCAACCCGACCCAACCCGCGTTTAACTCGAAAAAAGCGAGCCGGGTTAGGGTTGACTCAAAAAATAAACGAGGCAGAAAACTCAACCCAACCCG